CCCCTTACTGGGCCACATTTTTTCAGCCTGAGCTGAAATTACTTGCTTGCTATAAACTTTTTTTCGGCCTAATTTCCTTAGAAGTTGGGCTAACAACCAAGCTTCTCATTCCCTACGCCAAACCCATAATTCACCACATAATTCTGCCACTTATTAATTTACCAAAAAACTGCGATCAGGCGCCTGTTTTGGCATAAGAAGGGGAAAGTGGCCATTATCTTAGGTCAACATATAATAAACGTTTGAGTTTATTTCACAATTTTCGGCCGGTGTACATTTCTTCATGCATACCGAAAGTGAGCGATTTGATGCATGTGCACGTGTTTCTTCGCCAGAACTTCCACGTGCGACATCCCGCGGTTTAAGGATCTTCTTTCAGTTAGGTGGCAAAACCTGGCTAAAATGGTATCGTTTTACCAGATCAATCGAAGAAGCGATCTTTTGAAGGTATTTTTAAAGGGTTCCGCACATACAAATTCCACGAAAATTCGCCAGACGATACAGGATACATAAAACAAAAACATATCCCATTTTTGAGAGAGGAATGTTTGTTATGATCCCGATTTTTTAAAATACAATTTGAATTTCGCGCTAAATTACCTTTTAGCCTATGAAACTCAAACGGCTCCCGCTGCACCGGGCCTATTGTTTTCACAGTAGTTCTTATGCGAACCATTACTTAACGAAGTTGGTAATATATCGATAACGTAGCTCCTTTCAAGTTGATTGGACAACGATGGATCGAAAGAAATCGGAGTATCTTCTCGTTTTCATCGACTAACTTCGGAAACTTATTCCGTTGAATACGCGCGCGCGAAACTGAGCAACCAGGCCTTTGCTATTTGACATTAATGCGCCTAGTGATTTTCCAATCAAGGAGCACTATATTCGTACTGTTTTCCAAGTATTTTGGCTTTGCGATAGTGTGCTTATGCAAGAGATTTACAGAGAAGATGCTCAATAATCCTGCTGCAACGAGTGGATAGTCGTCAGATTTGCCTCAGGTGATAAACCTAGGGGAGTAAAATCATGGTTTTCTATTTAATGTAGGCGAATTTATAGTGCGAATGGTACAGCTCTAAATTTATTAATTTGTTTTACATGTTTAGGTAGATTTAGGTAGACTCTAGTTTCGAATATCGCCATGTTTTCCTCGACATTCTAATCTCGTATCACCAGGTGTAAAAGGTGATATTATTAATCTAAGTGGAATTTAACGATTCCCAGTTTGAAGGTCTCAGGGAGTAGCAAGAATATTAAAGACCTTGATGGAACCTGGAATCTACTTGGAATAGCTGTTACAAACCCTTGATCGGACATCAACTTTGGCTACTTTAGCATTATTTCTTTCTAAGAATTTTGTTGAATTTGTGTCTGTCGCGTTAGAGAATACAACTTTGCAAGCAACTCCCAGCTGACGGTAAATCGTAATTATTACGACCGTGTGACCTTGGCGAATAACAACGCGCGCTAAAAACAGGCCGTGTTATTATTAATATTATTGCTATTATTACTATTTTTATTATTATTATTATTATCGTTACAATTGTTCTTGTTTTTTTGTGATTTGATCTTTATTATTATCCTTAGAAATATCATTTTTGTTATTTTCATACTTGTTAATAATTACGTATAGCGAGTCAAAGTTGGTTTCATTTTTTCGTGCAGTATTATCACTGGACATCGTATAAGAAAGCGAAATTTTAACTGTTTAGACACTGACTGAGCAATAATTGGTACAAATCCTCCCTCTCCTGTTCATTAAGCGGGAAGGTTGAAGGCTGGGTAACAAGGAAGCCATTTGGAGTCAACTTTAACGAGGTAAATAAACTGCGAACGGTTTGGCATTGATAAAATCCTCAGCGCGCGTTCAGTTTGTATAAAAACAGATAAAAAGTTTTAATGTCGTCCTTTCGATTGCTAAAGAAATCACGGCAAATTACTCGATAAATCAAAATTTAAAGCTCATCATCAAATGGATTATCACCTAATTGCAATAGTAACGCGAAATTGAAAGTCATGGAGAACGATATATTTTCTAGAAAATTATTCAACGAAAACCATTTCCGCAGGTTTTGGCTCTCTAAGCGCGGCTGACAGTTTTAGTAATTCGAAGCGATAACCTTCCAATCGTGTTTACCAACAGCTAATAGCACTGATTTAGCAGTGGACACAAGTCATTCCCGAATATAACTGCATCGTTTCAGTAGAAAAATTCAGGTTGTCAAGATCACTGACAGTTTGACTTGTACTCGCATAAATTTTTCATGCTCTCGATTCACCTGAGAATAATTAGTCCCAGTCACAAGTCACACTTCGGCGACTTACTTGCGAAAACAAACATTCCAAGTAAAAAATCAAGTTGGAGCGCTTAAGCGTCTCAATCAGTGATGTTTCCTTTTGCTTTTTACTTTCAATAAACAGCTGTTTACTTCAATTGATAGCAGTATCTTTTTCTCAGGCCTCCGCTAACTCAATGCCCTTTCTCGGTTTGTGATCTGATCTTTAATTTTGTCCGTGATCCGAATCGAAACCAAACCGAGCGCGACCTGTTCTCCCCACATGACGTAATGCAATCCCCGCAAAAACACTGATCTTCGATTCAACAGTTGGACGGATGGTTTTACGCTTGTTAACCCCGAAAAAAAAATCTTGGCGGCAAATCTAGACGCAACAGTGGATCTGCAAATAAGAATTTCCAAAAAAATTTCTAGTCATTCTCGGCAAAGTGATTTTTGCACTTCGCTTAACTTGATGGTGATCGCTGAAAAGAAACGACCATGAAGAAATGCGGGCTGATTACCTTCGAACCATAAAATCCTTAACAACTTTAGCGCTTTGCCTCTTTAGTCTTCTGCAGATTACCGGTATGTATTTTCTGTATTTCTGCGGAGACTGCCAGAGTATGATTTGAAGGTTTTAAACTTTTCTAACTGTAGTTTTTCATCACAGGTACCCGAACAAGTTTTGACTACTCCAAATCGACTTTCACTTGCGAAGGCGATGGAAAAGTGATAAAATATGGCTTTTTATCGGCGAAATACCAAGTTTACAGACCCTCGCCTGCTTACGCCCGTTTGCTAAGCTCCGCCACTAATTTCCATGGCTGTGTTAGGCGCTGTTGCCATTTGAAATGGTGCAAGTATGCTTTCTTATCGCGCCGTGAGTGTTACCCGAGTTCCTGCAGTGAACGACTTTGCTTGTACCGGAAACTCCGGAATAATGATGCTTATTCAAGCCCTGGATACAAAGCAGGTTTTACAACTGCAGCACAAGGTATTCTTAAACTTGATCTGCACTTATCTTTATTTTGTTTTCACTGCACGGTTTTCATAAACCAGCGAATACGCGATACCCGATACCCTTGATCCACTGGCAGTGGTGTAATTATAACGGATTTAGCCAAGCATAATTTCAGCAAATAGGTCCCTAGCATGGCAGCGGGTGTTTAATTAACACAGGGTAGATTTTTGTCTCTACACGAGACATTTTTCTTAGCAAAATCGTGGCTACATTTTTCAATAAACGCATTTTTTGTTACAACTTTTCTCTTTTCGTAAGCGCACGAATGACAGAGCGAAAATGCCACTCATGATCTCAGCGTACAGGAATGAGAAAGCTACACACACTAAAATCTTTTGACATTTTATGTCTTTTTTCCTTAATAGCCCTTGTAATTTTAATTGCTGTGTTTATTTTATGTCTCTTTTTTATTCTTCCAACTGTCCTTTCCTTTTTATCTAATTAGATACGGTCAAACTCAGCCAAAACTATATTTTTTGATTGGAACCTTTTTTTTTTTTCTATTTTTTCGAAACGATGCCATCACTCGCCTTTACAATCACCACCAATTGTTTTATCATTTTATTTAAAAAAAAAACGCTTTTTTTGTTTGATTCACTCGTTTTATTTGTGACCATATTTTCGTCCCGACCATCACGTTCTGTTCTGAATCCATTCCTCATCACTTTTATTTCTCTTCAATGAAATCAACTTATTTCTGCTAATTATTATACGAATCCATTCGTTTAGAGAAAGGAGAAAAAGCTAATCTTTTCTCGTAGGGGAAAAATTTACTTTGAGCATGTCGCAGGAAGATTTTTTGTTTCGAGGCAGAGAGGTAGAGAGTTAATATTGTTGTTTTTAAAAATCCATTTCTTCTGCTCGCGCGAGTTTTTCGAATAATTTTTTTTCAAGATTTGCCCACGCTCGATCGGGTGCAAGTTCACTGCTAATTTTAAGTCAAATCCATTTCCTGTAGCGTGGCCAGTGAACACAGAATCGCTTCGGTGAGGCTCGTAGCGTGAAATGCGTTTCCCTTCGTGCGTTTGACTGGGTATTTACGCGGCTGAATGCGTGGAAAGGGCTCTTTAGTGTATATCCGAACTTTTTATAAGCGGGAATCTCGATCACTTTTGATAAGCCACCGCCGATGGTGTAATAGGCAGCTATGTCACAAGGTGAAACCCAAACACGACAGCCTGCTCGCTCCACCAGTGACCGGCTTTGACTGAAACTCCAGCATTAGCCAAACTAATGCAAATGGAGTTCTTCCCTGCTTTATCGTGAAAATTTTCTAGTCGAATTTACCGTGCCATGTCTTAAGTTTAGTTATAGCATCGCAAATCGTTGGTGCTTCATTAGTTCAGCTAGAAACCGCAAAGGCCCTTGGCAATAGGAAAGGAAGATTCCTCAGTAAAGCAATACCAATTTATCAGTTCAAAATTAATTTAGGTGCCTCATTCTCGATAAATCTGTGCCTTTCGTTTCAATTCGTACTTGATTTATAGCCTGTTAACTTATTTGGAAGCTTCTCAAGCCAAAAAAAATTGTTCTTTAAAGGAGTTTTAATTTTTCTCACAGATTTTACGCGACCCCCTCTCAGCGCTGACAATTGTAAGAGAAGTGCCATTATATTCAACGCTACATTAGTGAATGGTTATCAGTCTGGAAAATTCGTGGACCATGGAGACCTGGGCACGATCGCTGCATGCCAAGACATGTGCTGTCAATCATCTATGTGCGATGTGGCATTTTTGGTGGGAAAGCGGTGTTATTCTGTGTATTGCCACAGTGAATCTCAGTGTCTATGGACGCCATCTAAACACAACAAATACATGCTACAACTTTCTTACATCCACAGTGCCCACCGTATTTCAAACAGCGGTAAGTCTACTTTGATGCCATGCGCCGCGTATTGTACACGAGAATCGGAAACTCTATGAGTAATGAGTTCGAGTGAAACAGGCATATCAGTTCTCCAAGAATTTTCAGTGTGAAGGAGTTTAAAAATAGTGTAATAGACAAATAAGGAGCGCATTTTGGGGGTATTGTTACTTCCCTAGGATGGGATGTTATACAGCAATGTCAGTATCTGACCAGCTGCGCACCTACCCCTCCCAAAACCAACACTTACTCTAATTTGTTGTCAGTTTGCTGTTGTTGAGTTAGGGGAGGGATAGGTGCGCAGTTATCCAGATACTGACATTTATCCGATGTTATTCCCTTGCAAGTTGCCCCCTTTCCCCCCCCCCCCTTCCCTCACGTATTTCGTTCGGTTAGGTTTCCTTAACAGTCTGACACATGTCAATTATACTGTGGCTGGAAAAGCGTGTGTTAAGAGTTTTCTCGGTGAAACCTTACAAATTTTTTTGATGTTATTTAGGGCCGTCGCTGAAGGCGAGTCATCCCACAGAGGTCTCCCTGAGAGTGGAAGCAGATGCGAGACCTATCAAGAATGACAAGACTGAACGCGAACAAACAGCTGCCATTGCAGCGTCCAACAGAACAGAGAAACACCGAAAGGTGTCAATGGTACCTCTCAACAAAACAAAAACTAGAGGTGGTGAAGAAAAAAAAGTGTTGCCACCCAGTCATTCCAAGAACTTGGCTGGTAATACTGTGCGAGCAATGCCACATAGGTACGGAAAGGGTGGACGAAGTGAAACAAAAGCGGTTAAGGCTGCTATAGGTGTGTCACACATTGGAGAGAAAGCTGTGTCACGCAAAGCTCTCAAGGGAGGACACTCCTCGACAGCACGAGCTGCAAGGCCACGTGCCTCAACGTCACGAACTGCTAGGTCACGTTCGGTAATGTCACGTGCTGAAAAGTCACCTACTGCCAGGTCACTTGCTGCAACGTTACCTGCTGCAACGTCACGTACTACAACGTCACGTGCGGTAATGTCACGTGCTCTAATGTCACTTGCTGTAGCATCACATACCGCAACGTCGCGTCACAAGATCAGCACCAGAAAGACAAAAAGTGATTTAAGAGCAGTACAAACTTCCAGTATCAGCGGAGCTAGAAAAGAATTGAAAGACAAGGGCTCAAAAATTACCGCGTCAAGGAGACGCAAATCCACGACTACTGTGGCGAGAAACGTATCGTTTCCTCATCCGTCGTCAAACCAATCGACGTCAAAGGAACTTATGAGGAGTCCAAACCCTATGTTTGTGGGTAAACTTTCTGCGTCAGCAGCAACCACTCCTAGCACATCTTATTCTTTGAAGAAGTCATCTCTTTCCAAAGTGAAGACAGAAGATTTAATCCAAGCCAGATCACGAGCAGTGACCATAACAATGGAGCAGAAAGTTCCAACTCAACGAACTGCTCAAGGTAGGGGAACAGAACATCTTATTCTATTAAAACAAGGAGAGTCGCCTTTTAGGCTGTCCACCTTTTTTTCTTTGTCTAATTGATAAGGTGTTCTCTTAATTTCTTTGGCAGTAGAGTAATTTTCGATCGCGAAAACAAATGATGTCGATGTATCTACGAGAGAAAGGGCTACCCGTAAAAACAAGTTGTTGTTTTTGTTTGTTTGTTTGTTTTAATTTCTCGAGGCGATATGAACCTTAAAGGTCAACTCTGCCTCGAGCACTCGGATGTAACTTTGAAGGTTTTGCAATTAGGCCGCAAATTTGATGAGCAACTCTATTGAGTTATACACCGGGTCGATTTTGTCCGAATTCGTTTGGTAAACTATGAGAAGTAATAATCAGAAATAAACTAAAAAAGAAAAAAAAATGTGAGATGTCGTCGTCGGCGGGGCATCAAGCAGATGTCACACGTTTTCGAACTTCTACTCGTAACTCGAGTCTTTCTCAACGCGATAGCCAGTACTTGAGGGAAACAAATTTTCTTCTTAGGAGAGTTCCATAGCACTAGTGTCCGACATGTACAGCTGTGTTCAATTAGGAGGTCATGTGGGGGTGACATCACACGCATGTGCAGTTCCTAGCTTTGTGATCGAGGCTCTCAGAGAGAGCAACTATTCTAAGTAAGTGACCTCAAACCTGTTCATAGGTCAGATAATGGGTAGCTCTTACAAACAAAATTAGGTCAAAGATGAACGGGTAAGTCATTTATTAGCCTAAACTTCGAATTATTTTAGGCAAGTAAAACACATGTACAGTTCATGTGATTTCAGGCGTATCTGTTTTTAATCTCGTTGCCAGGGTTCCTTGTTTTTAAAACTTTCCTGTTCGAACTCGCTTTTTAAATTATTTGGAATTTTTTGTTCCTCTGTAAAACTTTTTAAGAGGCAAATTCTCATATTTGTTTTCAACTTTACTTTTAAACTGGCGTTGACAGGCGAAGCTAGATCAATATCAACAAACGAAATCTTGGCCTTCAAAATATTTCGGACAGTACCACTTGATCATTAATTTAGGGCGATAGCATGGTATCCATATTACTTATGATGTATATGTAGTTAGATTACAGAGTGTGCGAGAGGTGAAGGAAGTGATATCCAAAGGGTTTGGAGATCTTAAAGATGTATTGTTTAGGTTTACTAATAATTTTATTTGACATTTTCGAGTTTTCTCCGCAGTAAATGACGTTCTATTTACAAATAGAACCTTGCTTTGATTTAAATAGGAAACAGTTCTTCTCCAGGCAGAAGACCTTTTCTTTTACGCTTTTTTTGTTGGAAGAATATCCAGAGAAAAACTTTAATGGATGGGGATTTTTAAAAACTACCCAAACCTGTTTCAAAGTCGATATATTTTGTCGTTTTCTAACGCTTCTTTTGATCTCAAAATTCGATGCCTCTTTAGGCGATAAGAAAAAAAAAAAACATTTCCAATTTATCGATGAAATGTCGTCGTTATAGACTCTCTCATTCTCATAACCTAAAACTGAAGGAATGTTTGGAGTTGAGCAATGAGAATTAATATTTCAAGCTTTACACGTAAGGAAATAATTCTTGAAAGACTCAGACGTCAACTCACCAGACACCTGCTCTGGGTAGTGAGCTATTTATCAGTCTTATCTTTGCTTCATTGGTCTGCATCTGAAATTACCACCAGTGTTAATTGTTTGTCGAAGTCAACATAATCCCTTAGGTCAGATACTATGAATGGAGCACCGGCCATTATTCAAATATTTTTGAAGGTAAAGGGGTAAGACGTGGTGAGAAGCGAAAAACTGTGGGTGTAAGTGGGTTGATCTTGTGAGTGCTGATGACTTTACGCGAGCAGATGCAAGGTGACATGAGAGAATATGCTTTGAATGAAAGCGTCTGTTACGTCGGCCACAGTTACGGTTGATTTTATATGGAAGCGTTCATAAGTCTTGCTTAGAACTTGTCTCGGAGTTCCTGTCTCGCTTAGACTTCTCATAATTCAACAGATCCGGCAGGTAACCTTTTAAGCTTTCTAGATCGCTGTAAACACCGTAAGCAATTTCGAAATTGTATCACAGGGGTGAATTTCAGCCCATGGCTTCGTTCATATTCCAATTGATGACCTATTGCGTTAATTTCGGGGGTTGATTCTTTTCTTTTCTTTTTTGTTTTGTTTGGTATTTTTTTCAATATTATTATCATTGTTTTTCGATCTCTATCGGCTGTTTTAAGACGAAGGTAGGGTGTAGTTATTTATTTTAAGAAATATCGATATATCAAGTTTCCATCTTCTTCAAAAATCAAGTTTTTGTTGTCCTACCTCGTTACTTTTACCCTGATTTTGCTAATGGTATATATAAAGTTTCATCTTTTTGCACTTGTGAAGAGCTGTGAAGAAGTAACTAAATACTGTTCATATTGAAACAAATTTCCAACCGCAAAGTAACTTTTATCCTATTTACATCTCACAGCACACCGAACAATAAAATCTGGTTCAGGCTCACTCAGTCGTGATACAAAGGATGCTCGAGGAAGGAAGCATTCTCCTCTTCCAACACCATCTAAAGAGAGGACGCTGCGCTCGTCGGGATCATCTGAAACCCCAAATTTATTTTCAACGATCACAAGTGCATTCAACAACGCCAATGCCACCAGCGAAGCAATTCTGTCGACATCGGTGTCTTCTAAGGACGTTGGAGATGACACGTCAGAACTTTCGGGTCTGTATCATCTGATATCCTTTAAAGACATAAATAAGTCGGAGGAAAATGTAAGTAATTTCCCGACTCCCTCTATAACCGTGTCTAGTCGTGATGCGAAGAATTCTCGTCACCGGGATTTGGCAACGATGCTGGCCGAGCTAGCAGGGAAGAGTTCTCGTCGTACCACGACGAGTAATCCGGCGAGCATTCTGGAAACATCCTCAACAATAAAGATTACACCCATGGAAAGCGCTCTCCCTGGGATGGAAGGTAAGTATCGTTATTAAATAGTTAATTTTATCGTAGTTGTATGTCTTTTTGAGCGAGGAATGGGTGACGGTGAGATAACACTTAATGTCTCGAAACTCCTTAGTGCTCAGTTAACTTATGTTGCCACAGATCTAGTTGACGTCATATTTCCATTCTGCTGCGTTTCCTTTTTGGTTTTTTTTTTTTCGGTATTGTTTGTTTATTTATTTCAAGGATTTCCTGACTAAGGTTACACTCCCATGTCTTGTTTGTTATCTAAATAACATCTTCCAAATCAATGTTTTGAACCATACATCTCATGACTCGACTACGATGTTATCATTTGAGAAGGCCGGCTTTTTAATTCGAAATGGCTCATCCGCGCTTTAATTGGAGTTTAGTCCTTTTGGAATGGTTAGTCCAAAAAAAAAAGTGGTATCTCTAATCTGTTAAGTTAAAGCCAAAAATTCAGAAATGAGATCTTCTAACTGAAATAAAACAAATTTCCCCCAAATTGCCTATTTTCTATTTTCCTAGTTTTCACATTTTCCAAATTTCTCTATTTTCTCTCTTTCGATTGACCCAACAGTTTTAATAAATCTGTTGGTTTACAGACCATTTTATTTTTATTCTGCTAGTTGAGGAAAGCATGGTGACGAGCAGGGAAACAACCCTTCCAGTCGACGTCGCAAATCCCTCGTGCCATTACGGTCACGTGTACTACAACTATTCTTTACTGTATGGCCGAAAGGCAGGAAATTTCACTGAACAAGGAGAAGTGGAGAATATGAGCGAGTGCCTCCGTATGTGCTGCAAGGAAACGTCCTGCAAAATTGCTCTCATGCTTGAGCAGAATTGTTATTCCGTGTCTTGCCGCGGAAAGTTTTGTCAAACCGTGCCTGTGAACCCATTACAGTTCAAGCCGAGAATTGCACACGTTATTAGACCTAAAGGTGAGCATGGAATGTTTATTCTACGTTCCGAAGACATAATGTGTCAAAAAAATTGACTGGAACGCACTGTAATTGTTTTTCTTGGAATCAAGTTATGCCGACTAAATCGCTCAGCTTTCATCAGTCTGTTGGAGGTATGGTTACACAGCATTGAAATATGTAACCACTCGCTCAGAGAAACCCGATGGGAGTATGGCATCCTTTGTACAGGCCCAAGTGGCCCATGGGGCCGGCGCTTAGCTCCGGTTTTCCCAGCATGAAGAAGCAAGGAGTATCGATCCGGGGTCGAGCGCACTAACAATGAGGCCACTGCGCCTCCACGAAAGAGTTTTGTAGAGTTTTGGCTTAAAACCTTGCAGTGATCGCATTTACCAAGTTCTATTGCACAGGCGAAGATTTTCACTAAATATTCCCTTTTCAATATAAGGCCACCTAGTAGAGATTTTCTCGACCTAAAAAAATTTATCTTTTTCTCAAGTGGTGTCTGTTTATCTCTTTTCCTGCAGTCATTTTGAACACCAACTCCGGCTTCCCGTTCTCCTCGCCAAACCATTCCCATCACCCTCCTGGAGGAGTCTCTTACAATGTTACGCTACGCCAGCACCAGGCTCCTCTCGGAGTAGGTGGTGGGAAAGCTGAGCACCACAGCTTACCAAAGGCGCGTGGCGAAGACCAAATCAGCCAACTGGACGAGGGTAACCAGGAAACTAACAAAAACGACACCCAATGGAACAGCCCGTCTAGGTTTCCCTACAGAGTGTTTGAGATTTCTTCGAATAGAAAAGTACAGGATAACGGAAAGAAGCAGCGAGAGTTCTCCTTGAGAGAGTTTGATCGTTTGGATACTCTTCTTAATTTATCCCTTATACATAAACAGCGTGCTCTGTACATAGCAAAATATTTAGTCAAGATTGGAAAGACAACTATGGAAACAGGCTTGAGAATGGTGCAGATCCATGGTGGAAACAAAACGCAGCACGATCACCACGAGGATGCGGTTAAAATCGGTCGACGCTTGATTTCTGCTGGCGAGAAAATTTTGTCCCGTGGGGAGAGAGTTCTTAGAAAGATTATGAATCCAGCTGGTAAGAAAAAACCCAGGAGACATAGAACAAAGATACCAGCTTCGAGAATCTCAGAAATTCCAGTTGTGACGCCAGTTATTAAAATGATATCGCTCTGCAGTCACGGTCCGTCTTACTACGGCGTCACTCTGCTGGGGGGATTTCGTGCTGGGCACTTTGTCGGGCACGGCCAAGTCGACAGCATGCAAGCATGCATAAAAAAGTGCTGTGCCAACCAGGATTGTGATTTGGCTTTCATGGTGAGGGAAGACTGCTACTCGGTTATTTGTTATCATAAGAGTTTGTGTCGCAGCGTGAGAGCGAAGCATGTCAAGAAATATCAACCGCGTATTGCGCATATATGGAGAGGTTCAAACCCCGAGAAAGAAGGCGTTAGCGGTCAAGGAAAGTCTCCAGCGCAGTCACAGAGCTACATGATTGAGAGGAAACATATTACCGCTGGATCTAAAGAACAGAAAGGCGCTGTAATCTCGAAAAATCATATGAAATCGAGAAAGGCAAGCAAGGTGGCTGCATTGAGACACAAGGGAAATGGTATTGTGTCAGGTAAAATCGGTTCGCCTTCGCAGCCACGTATCCATAAAGGCACTCACACACCAAAGACTAAGAAGGTTGGAGTTATGCAGTACAATCACTCGGAAATTAAAAAGCGTATTTCGAGTACTAAAGTTCACTCCCATTTTTCTTCGAGTGCAAGTTTTAAGAAACAGTTTCCTGGCAAAAATGATGACAAGAAGCAAGGTTCCGTCTTAATAAAGGCTAACACCCAAGCTACTGACACTGAGCACCACTTACACTCAGTAAGTTACAAAGAACCAAAGCTCGCTGTACGTAAGCCCAAAGTCAATGACAACACATGTCGTCACTCTGCTATCCAGCATAATGTTGGACTCCGTCGTGGCTTGAAAACAGGAACATTTGCATATATTGGAGAATTTTCCGATATTACGAAGTGTCTGAAAGTGTGCTGCCGTGACCCGAAGTGTGATATAGCATTCATGTTAGACCAATCATGTTATACGGTTAACTGTGCGAATGAATCAGTTTGCCATAGTGTTCCGTATCATCAGCATCAGTATTCCACAAGCGCAGTGTTTATTCGCGGGCGTTTTCACAATAAAATTTCTTCAGTTAGTGGACTTCAGCGAAAAGAAAATTTCTCGCCTACAAAGAAAGCCATTTTAGGGACTGGCTTTGCAATGAGAACTGTCACTTCCCGAAAAGACATTCACGATTTGCGACAATCAGAAAAGACGACAAAAAGGGTCAGGGCACCGCATAATGGGTCCTCTGCTGAAAACAGTTCGGATAAGACAAATAACATAAAGCCGTGGATCGAAGAGAACATAAAGGTTAATTTCTCCACAATTCTACAGCATCCCAATCAGAGCATAACATCTGGCTTTTCCAAAGTCACAGGAAACTTCCATGGCAAAACCGAATGGAAAGTCGAGAACATTAAAATTAATCTTTTGAACAAGGAAACATTAAAGAATTTGTCGCCTGCAGTGGATCAAAAATCTACTTTAACAAAACCTTCTGATCATATTGCACGCCAGAGTCACCTTGACACGCGAAACAAAGTTCCTGGGAAAAACTTCTCGGTCAATAAGTCGGTCTCGTTTGACGATTTCTCTACAAAAGCTGAGCAACAATTACAGAGTATTCCAGCGAGAAATTACGGCAGAGAAGGAAAAGCGTTGAAAATCAAGAAAGGAGAAATCGAGCAGAACAGTTCCTTAAAAATGAGGATTGATTTCAACACTGGGAGTGGTTTGTTCCAAGGTGAGTCAGATTATTACAAGGAACATCAACATCGCAACAAGTCGTTTAATTCTGATTTCTTCCAAAATTTTCACCCAGATGAGGATATACATGGCGAAAGTGCCAAGACAGAGCAAATAACGAGTGGAAGCGCGAGTTCAGATGGTTTTTACGGTTACGAATCTGGATCATCTAGTCCCTACACGAGCGGTTCTACGCCAGATTCGTTTCACGAATCAGCGGGAGGTTCCGCAGACTTCGATGTTGATGGAAACTTGCAAAATTGTTCCACCTACTCATACTATAATATGACACTTCGAGCAGGACTAAAAGCGGGGAATTTCACCTTTTTTGGAAAAGTTACTTCAACAAAAGACTGCGTAGCTCGTTGTTGTTTAACAAAGGGATGCGATGTGACATTCGTGGTACTAAATAGATGTTTCCTAGTTGATTGTTTTAGTGATGATTCGTGCGATATTATTAACGCTAGAAACACCAACAAGTTTAAACCCGTGGTCACCTTCGTCAACTTAACGCTTATAAGCACCCTTGTTGAAAAATCGTTTGAAAACAGTAGCCTCGTGTCGGATATTTCAATTCAAGGTGACAACGAAACTAACGAAGCGTCGAATACCCAAGGTGAACCGACGCATGAAATTGGCATCAGCGTGTCCCGAACAATGGAATCGGAACGTAATACGCGTGTAACTCAGAGTCAAGACTCGGTTTCTTCCCCTACAAGGCTGCATCCGTCGGAGTGTATTTATAGTTTCCCCCTCCGCAATGTATCCTTCCGAATCGGGCGGAAAGCTGGGATATTCATAAATCACGGGGTTGCCAAAAACGTTAGCGAATGTGCTGAGTATTGCTGTCTATCTCTAACCTGCGACGTGGCATTCATGATATCCAACGATTGCTTTTTCGTACGTTGCCACAGTGACAAATCTTGCGAAACAAAGACAATCCGAAACTCTACATTCTATCCGAGGATGATTTTTGTGAAGAAGCATGGAGTCACGCTCAAGGGCAGGGCACACAAAGCTGCAAATGATTTGTTGGTAAATCCATCACCGAGCTCCCGATGGAGTTCACGCATTCCAACAAGGGCAACACTTTTCCCAGTAAACGTTTCCCTTGATTTGCCTCGAACCATTGCGTTAGTTACTTCACTTTACACACTACAAAGTTTGGTTGTAACAAAATCATCTGTGCTTAGTGTGGAAACGTCCATTCCGACCGTTACCCCTTTAGAGGAGAAAGGACCTAAACGTGGGGAGCATGTTTTCGATCCGTCAAACCTCGTGGAAGTGAAGACAAACGGTTCTGAATTTTGGTGGCAGTACTACTCACCAGACGATGGTCAGATTAGAAATTCCAACTTCACCGTGGAAATGCCCAAAGTTAAGAACGACAACAGTGCAACGCCAGCCATTGCGACGAACAGACCCGTTTCGCAAACTTTAAACCGTACCTTGCCTCATAAACCAAAAGAGCGTAGACATTGCAGCCATGCTAAGATTATAACTGGGGTAACCTTAACGGGTGGTTATTATGCAGGAATATTTACCAAACAGGAGTATGTTGAATCCATGCCAGAGTGCATCTCAAGATGCTGCAGTTTGCCTACTTGTAATGTTGCTTTTATGGTCAGCAACATTTGCTATGCTGTTCAGTGTTTCAGCGAGGAAAAATGTACTACTGCTAAAGCCCACTATTCAAGAAAGTATCATCCACAAGTCTCTCACGTTCGCAAAGGGAAGTTGAACAGACATGATGCCATAACTGGGAAGCTTCGTTGTGTGTTGGAGGACGTCAACGAGCCGAAGCACCGAGTCAAGGAAGGAGCAGTCCTTGTGCACACTACGGCGCATGATTTGGGTGACTGTGCAAAGCTATGTTGTCAGACAGAAGGTTGTAAAGTTGCCCTGCAGGATAATGATACATGTTATTCATTGAACTGTCATACTAATATGAATTGTCCAAACGCGAACTTGTCACGCAACATTGAAGCGACTTCCCAATCTTTGGTCGTAATAAAAGACAAGAAGCAATCGGAAATGCATCCAGAACGCGACCTTACCGAAACTTGTCATTTCAGTAGTGTCCTTCACGAAGTTGTGCTGCGTGGTGGCTCGCAATCTGGAAAGTTCAAATACCTCACCGAAGTTGACGACATGGCCACTTGTATCAAGGAATGTTGCAAATATAGCGTTTGTGACCTGGCTCTCATGTTGAAGGATAATTGCTTTTTGGTGTCATGTCACAGCGAGGTCCTTTGTGAACCCATACGATCCCGCTCATCTGACTACCGTCCGCAGATTGCGTACAAGATCAAACGTGGAAAGAATCGACATATTGGTAAGGCAGGGTAGCGTCTACAGCTTTACTAGTATAAGTAAAATTTTTATGGTCTACACGTGGGTGCAACGTAGCGCCCTAGATCCATTGTTGATAAATGATCTATTTTCCTCGTGCATGAAATATCCAAATAGCTGTTCTTGTGTTTTTGCTTGTTTGTTGTTGTTGTTTTTTAATATTCATTTATTTAATTTTTTTCAGTTAATTTAAACTGAGTAGACAATAGCAACCCAAATAAATATATATATTTATAGATAAATAATAGAATCACTGTCTATATGATATGTTTAATCTGACTCGTACGATCTGCTTTGACTACAAGAAAAACAACTTTTGATTAAAGGAAACTAAACGCAACGCAACGAAACGAAATACTACTTACGAGACTTGTAAGCCTGAGAGAAAAAGAAATCCGCGAAACGCAAAACTTTACTCACTCGCAAGAACAAGGTCTAGACCATAATATGCCTATCTAACCCGGTATCGCGCGGTTAAGGCACGACTAAATAAGACGTATTGCAGTGATCACACGTAAAGCATTTACAAAGTTTGCGAGCTTCTGAAAGTGTTATATTTGGTATTAATGAAAAACATACATGAAGCATTAGGTAGATTATTCATAGAGCGCCAGGCACCTGAATATAATTGGACAGTGTGTTTAGTGGAATACATCCTTTGTTTTCTCTTCAGAAATATGGCCAAGAAGAGAGAAGAAAAGTTCAGTGGTGAACAGAAACAATTACGAGGCTACTGGAGAAAGCAACACAGAAAATGCGACTTTCACAATGAGCAGGTTCTTCCCAGTAAGCTCGGTAAAAGTGGGCAACATCCATTCCAACGGAAGTGGATTTGTTGACATCGCAAATAACAGTAAAACTGAAGAAGAAATGACTTCCAATGACACGGTATTAGTGTCAAATGAAACGGAGACTGACATCTTTGCCAATGAGACTACTCCCCAGTATGTCTTGATGTCACATCCGTTGTTGACTCTAAATGACTCTAGCTCTGTTCTTGGGGGCAAGTCGACCCTTGTTTACTTGGAAAGTAGTCCGACTGCGAAAAAATCAGTCCTTCTTCAACGTGTAGTGGAGAGCACCAAATCGCAGGCCTTAGAAACAGGGGTTCGGACCATGATAGTAAACTCAAGAAAATTTCCAAGCTCAACAATGCAGTCAGTCGAGAAGTTGAAGTCTTTGACGTTATCGTCAAGCAATGCTTTACAGATGTCAAAGGTCTCGAAGTCACAATCAAGCCTTATATTAAAAACAGAAACATCTACTCATTTAAAAACGTCTTCCGATGTTTTACAAAGCTTGAAGTCCTCTCAACAATCTGGTATTCTTGTGAGTGAAGGTCTCCCTACGATTGTCGTGCAAACACTCAACCGAGAAACTGAAGAATCGCTATTGGAGTCAGTAGGAATGAAAAGCTCCAGCATCCAAACTAATTATTTAAGGCAATTGGGTACACTTGCAGCCAAATATCACCAAGCAAAAAACTCCAAGAATGTTGCAAGCACCCTTTCAAAAAGCATTTCCCCTCCATCGAGCACATTTAATGTTTATAGTTCTACAGAAAAGTCCACAGCGAAAGAAGAAAAAAGGTCATCGCAGTCACAAATGAGTAGCCCTGATTTTTCAAGTCTTCAAAAGGATAACCCCGAAGTAGCGTACTCATCATCAGTCTTCCCTTTTGCTGAAGACAGCCAACGTACTAGAGTAAAACCTCAAACAGCAATACCCATTAGAGCTAAAATCCATTCAACAACCGCATTTTCCTCGAAGCCAACCATTCGAAGTGATAAACAAGACAAGGCGGACGTAATCTCATCGGGTCAAATGAAACCAACCACAAAAGAAACAATCGAAGGGATTTCACTAAAACTAAGCTCACCCACACCAACTGGAGTTTTGTCACAGGCAAAGGTAAACAGCCCCTCTCCGAGTTCCTTTTCACTCATGGAGACGCCAACCAGCCTTCTGAAACCAATAATTAACCATATCGATATTTCACTGGTCTTCAAGGATAGGCAAGTCCACGCACAAGCTTCAAATGAGACAAAGCCTTTTAATGAACGCCTCACTCACGCTAGCTCGGGTTTATCGTCATTCTTGGTCTCTCCTACCCCATCTGCAATTTCGCTTGTCTCTTCGAAAAACCCAGTAATTATCAAGGCTTCATCCATAGACAAAGATACCAGACCGAAAAACCTTTCAAAAATAAAACAGGAGCGCGATAAAATCCCTGTTATCACTCCGAGACTGCTGGGAATTCCTAGTTTGTCAGACGTATCACCCAATCAAAAGCTCCCCTTAACTTCTGGCTTTTCGCATGGCAACAAAGGGACTGTGGTAGCTGATCCTACCGATGCTACCTCTACAACAGTCTCGGCTATGGTGTCTTCGAGCCTGCTACTAACAACGATTGCATTTGATCTAGATGGTCTTACAAAGATGGGGCATTCAAGCCGAAGACTGACCCTTAGTCAATCCCAAGTTGCCACGGAAAAATCTACGTCGATAAAGATCTCGACCTTAACATCGTTGAAACGTTCTTCGCAAGGGGTGTTAGTGCAAACATCGATAATTACGTCAAAAAGCACAGGAATGAGTGATGGCAGTAGAGAGAAGTCAGCTTTTTATTCGACTAATATCCAAAGACCAGACACGCAGGATTCATCTTTATCTCTCACCAAAGAAGTGTCATCCTCTAAAATAGCCTCTAGCGTTGCACCAGCGAAACCACTCTTGCAATCGACGCGGATTGCAAGTAAAACACCGAAATTATTACCCAAGGGTATTTTGATAGCCTCTCCAGTGAAAATACAGGCCTCTGCTTTAGCAGGGCCTCTTCAACCAGATATCTCAGAAGTCAAGCAATTTGACACCGTTGCTTCACATCAAACGAATGTTGTTCGACTGCTATCCTCGGATTCATCAAAGGGTCAACCCTCGACAAGCTTACATCATGGTGATAGAGTTGCTTTAGCAAAGTCAGTGGAGATGAGTCGTTCGCTTTCGTCTTCTTTACTATTAGACTTAACGGAGCAGACACAAACGACAACTAGAAACGTTATAGCAACCACAGCAACATACGTTAGTAAAGGAAATATAGATTCCCTTACTTCTTCGCTCAGAGAATTAACAGAGTCATCTAAAAGCATCAGTTTTACTATAACACCTTTAAAGCAAACGGTGCTAAATTTAGCGGATGCGCCAAGACGAAAAATTTCAGTTGATTATTCTTCAGTAAAGGAGAGAATTCACTTGTTGTCTAAGCAGCCAGTAAACGTTAATACGTCATTAACAAAGATATCGATATCAGCTTCAATCGTCGCAATAACAAACGATAAACGCAGTAATAGTACAATTTTCACCACAACTCCAGCCAAAGTCTCGAAAAAAGCTTCCAAAGTGCTACATGAAAGGCTATTTTCATCAATTAGCACTGCGACCGAAAGAAGCAGGATTACAGTCAATGCCAACCTTGAAGCTGCTACCAGGGGAAATGTGTCGGCAAAAATTACGACGTCGAATTCAACGCCTGTGGCAAAAACCCCACGGGAGGCTCTTGGTAAGGTACATAACCAAGAAAAAGTCGTGCGTACGTTAGCCAGTGGAATAGTATCCAGCCCTATCTTCCACCATGCAATCAATCATATAGGAGAGCTTTTAAAGAATGAAACTGGAATAGCGGATTCTGTTTCTAGGCTTGAAAGTTTGTTGGGAAATCTGCAGAGACTTGTCGTAAATGAGACAAGAAATCACTTGAACAGCTCAGCCCTTACATCACCTTTGAGAGGAAATGAACTGAGAGGTAATGGCTCAGAGAGAATTTCTAAGCAAGTAGCATCGAAACTTGATGGGATTTCTTCTAAGCTTAGGAGAATATCATCAGTGCTCACAGAGCTTCAGATAAAGAGAAAAGAGCTTAACAACACAGTAGAAACGAGGTCTAACGTAGAACGACCAGGAACTGGAACTGCAGAGGACAGAAAACGCAATAACCTTATTGCACTTTTATTGAAGAGGTTAAGCAAGCTCGAGACTATTATTCAAAGAAAGCGAAATCCGATCATTGGCAGTTCTCTGGCGAAAAGCGGTGAAAACAAGCACACAGCTTCCTACGCCAGTCTTCGTACTATACTTCAAGATTCCACCGTAACGACCAAATTACAAACAAGAACTTCGCATTTAGGGTCGGTCACAATGCCCTCTTCGACTACCGCGGCTATCGTAGGTTTAAGCTCAGTGGCAGCTCAAAGCATTGAGAAATCCATAATCGCTCCACTTATCTCCAGGGTCCTCCCTACAAATCAACCATTGACTACACTGAAAGCATTCAAATCAATTACAGCCACACCACTCAGGACTAAAGCCATTGTATCAAGCCTTACGAATGATCAAAGTTTGGTCTATTTACAAACACATCAGTTCGAGCCAACGAGTACACTTCATATTCCTATTCAGCCACAAAACAGCAGCCTTGGACAAACTTCAACATCCTTAACAAGGAGTAAGGCTGGTCTTGTGAACTTCCATCAATCAACATCCTTAGCAGGGAGTAAGGCTGGTCTTGAAAACTTTCATCAATCCGCCAGCCATCATCTTGTGAACAGCAAGAAACATCGTGTTGATAGAAGTAAAGAGTTCACGTATGTGACATTCCGAAATGGACTAGAAGCCGGTATCTTCACCGAAAGCGGGAAAGTTAAAGATATGGAATCGTGTGTGGAACGATGTTATAACCGTTCATCTTGTCACGTCGCATTCATGGTCGAACACTCCTGTTACTCCATACACTGTTACAGTCAGAAGACCTGCGAAGTTCTTCCAGTTCAGACGCCAATAATCACCACACGTGTAGTGTATCTTAAGGACAGGATGTTAAAATTACCCTACATCACTGCAAAAGAGCACAAGGCCTCCCCTTTTATAAGAGACGACAAGAATTTTACCATCACCAATTGTGCTAAGAATGTCACAGTTCTCAAGAACATGACTTTTCTGGCTGGAATGAGCGCCGGGAATTACACGGATTACGGAACAGTGGACAGCATCCAAGCATGCTCGAACATTTGCTGCTCAAAGAAAGTCTGTGATGCGGCATTTATGATTTTGAATAACTGCTTTACGATTGACTGCATCAGTGACAAAGCTTGCCATGCTATTCCTTCAAAATCACGCAAGGTAAACACCTCTATAGTGTATTTTCGGAAGACTCTATCTTTGGGACGTCCCCAGCAAATGCAGAAGAAACCAAAGGTAGGGAATCAGCAACTTTGCCCCCTTCTTGGGGGAATTAGGAAAGGGGTTACCTTTAGCGGAGGTTTAACAGCGGGAAACTTTACTGATCATGGATACTTTGATAACTTTTCATCCTGTATAAAAGTATGTTGTCGCCTTGAAGCCTGTGACATAGCATTCATGGTTGAAAATAATTGTTACTCGGTCAAGTGTGCTAAAAATAGGAGACGGTGCATTCCAGTGGTTGCAAGACCCACAAAATTTAAAACGTTCATGGCCATTATGAAGGCAAGTGTTTATTCTGAAGTCCACACTCAGGCTTCCTATGATTTAAAATGTGCCAAGAAAGGTCCCATTCAGCATAGTCTCACTTTCAAGAAAGGTATCAAAGCTGGAAATTTCACTGAGCAAGCTAAAGTAAAAGATATGAGCCACTGCATACAAGCGTGCTGTAACATTTCTTCGTGCAGTGCCGCTTTCATGATAGAGGGAAAATGCTACTCAGTGGCTTGTCACTCTAAAAAAGATTGCGAAACACGTGCGGTGAAAAGCAAGGTATTAACCACCGTCATTGCGTTTATAAACCACCCGCAGAAAGGAAGGAAATCAGGTGAACCAGGGTTAAATCTGAAACAGACCTTTACAAAGAGCATCTTGGGAGGCCATTGTGATATAACGAACGTGCAGCGGAATGTGAACATAACCGGAGGATGGAAAGCTGGCAAGTTTCTCCGTATTCCTGATATTAAGAACATGGTGAGATGTACTGAAGCTTGTTGCGACTATCATGGATGTGCGGCTGCTATGTTCATTGGTCAATATTGTTACAACTTAGTTTGCTTTAAGACAAAAGGTTGCCAGCTGATAGGATCACACGGGGGGTTTATGATCGATAGATTTGTCGCGGTACGTAAGAACACAGGGAACGTGCTGTCACCTATCATGAAAGCCAAAATTTCCGAGTTGACGGCTTCCAAAGAGCACGTTAGTCATTCATACTTCATGGAACCAGTGCAAAACGCCAGCAACAATGATGTTCAATCCGCTCTGAAGAATGCGTCAAGTAACACCAGGATAGACAATAAAGCGCGAACACCTTTTACCAAGCTGTCTGAGTTCCCATCCATTAAACCGACAGGTACAAAGTATGAAACAAATAGTGAAAGTTTCAATTCAACAAACGCCAAGAAAAACAAAATTCCATTCCTTGTCTCGTCTCATCAAACTGGTTCCACTACGATTATGGTAACATCGACGAAGACGCCTTCTTTTCCAACAACAAGTTCCATTTTACGTTTTTACAATAATGTACACGTCAGACTTCCAAAAACGTCTACCGTCCTTGTTAGGAAACAGTTGGAGCATGTGCAGAACGTGACAAGAAATTATTATCTCTCGATTAAGTCAGCTTCTGTAACATCATCTGCGCTGTCGCCTTTATTCTTCTCTTCAATTGCTTTGAATAGATTCAAAATAGTATCACAGACGTCTGACATTGTCACTCCATCAACGGCGTCAAGAAATCCAGAGGGAAAAACAGATTACTCGAGCAGTATCGAGACAAAAAATTCGGAAACGTTGCCTGAGGAGACGTATTCATTCAAAAGCGATTATAGTCTAATGATGGAAGAACATAATCGCAATAGAAAACGGACATATGCCTGTACTCATACGTTTGTCTTCAATAACGCTACTTTGCGCGGTGGTCTGAATGCAGGTGACGTGAAAAACGAGGGAAAGGTGGAAGGAATGGAAGAATGCGTGGACATATGCTGCAAAACTTTGGAATGCAATGTAGCGCTGATGTTGAACGAAAAGTGCTACATTGTGGCGTGCTCTAACAAAAGAAGTTGTGAAGCAATTCCTGATAAGCATACAACTGGAGAAACGAAAGTTGCATATGTGGCACGAAGTAAGGACGAAACGGAACTTATCAAAAAGCTTATCAGTCAGACTAAAACATCAAAACCTGTCAGTGTTAGGGAAAATAAAACTAACGATGGCCGGACAAGGAAAACAAAAGATTTGCAATCAGCAACGAATAATAATATAGTTAGGCAAGGATCTTGCTTCAGAAGTCCCATTTTAAAGAACGTGCGATTCAAGCTTGGTAGGCACGCTGGAGACTTTAAGCCAGTTGGGCTGGTAAAAAATATTGAACAGTGTGTAACGTCATGCTGCAAAGAAAATGCCTGTAACGCAATCTTTATGTTGGGATCACGATGCCATTTGGTGTCGTGTTCCAATGAACAGGACTGCCAAACTGTAGAAGCTAAGTCGGACTTCTACCAACCAAGGGTAGTATATTTAGCAAGGAGTGAGGCTGAAGTAACCTACTTGTTCAAGCTGGTTCCAAAGGATATTTTAGAGAACTATAAGGGAAATGAGACTGACCACGCGTATGCCACAGTCGACCGAGACGAGTCAGCAGTTCGGAGATCGCAACTGGAACGCGCAGAAAGCAATAATAGTATCAGCTCAACCTACTCTGAAGAAAACGATGCACGCCTTACTACGTCCTCGAAATCTTCTTTTCAGTTAGCTTTGTCTACTTTGAAAGAAAAACCAAGATCAGGGATAAGTAGGCAAGTTACCATAACATCAACCCCGTTACTACAGTCACCTTATGATTTCAGCACCACGCAAAAACAGGTACAATCTTTGGAAAGTGTCACTCATAGAGACACGTCAGTCCCAAAGCCTAAGACCTCGGTCACCTTCTTTTCTTCGAAAGCGGGAACTTTACGGAGCACTACAAATAATATGGTGGGCTCGAATCCTGCTCCGGAAACAAGACGTGAACTTTCCCTTCCCGCAGAAGCTTCGCCTCTTCTTTATGGAAAGGTTTCTTCGATCTTACAGTCAGCGTTGAAATTATCAACCGTTTTACCCACTGCGATATTTACGAAAAGTAACGTATTGGAAGGAGATGAGGTAAACAAGACAAATACTATTATTACCAATACTATTATAAATACAAGCCCAGCCATTAAATCGTCAGTTCAAGCGCAATACAAAATACCAATGAACTATTCCATAAAGTCGAGAAAAACGACGCCATCAGGAAACCAGAGTCGAGCCAAATCATTAAGAATAATTACCCGCAGTGACTCAAAGCTGTTGTCTGAAAACATGCTCACTGATGAAGAAACCTATACGAAAGAAACTGTTCATGAAAGTTCTACGAGGGCACTCAACATATTGTCAACTAATCTGCGTATTACTTTAAGCTCTGTGTCAAAAGGAAGGGAAAACGCAATGAAGAATATAACGTCAAGTACGTCTCCTTTAAGAACAACACCGCTTCGCTTGAAAACATTGCCAGTTAATACCGTGACCAATCTCCCACAATCGTCTACAATAATGCGTGATTTAAAGAAAACAATAACGAACTATCAGCAGAATGAGAGTAAGACGAAAAATCTTCCACTCCACGCCTTTGACATATCACAGCCTGTATCTCCTGAAATATCTCAAGGTATCGTGTCCCAATCCGAAGAACACGGTAATGATTCTACTGACTTTGCCACTCCTCACGATAGAAATCCAACTGAAAAATCAGCAGAAAGTCCTGTCCCTCAGGAGCAAAAAAGAGTTAACATTGCACGGTTGAAGACATCTAAACCCAACAAATATTCTGGTATGAAACCACAGTCGCAAGCTGAAAAAGCTGCACCCTTGAAACAAACACAGAAATTTACAGTGCTGAATCAAACCGAGGCGTCTGAAATGTCCACATTCCCAAAAAGAAACCAAACTTCTAGCACATTTGTAGCTCAAACCATCCCACAAGTTGGCACAACCACGCTTGATAATAGCACCTTAGCGGTTAGGTCAAGTTTGAAGAGGTCACTATATTCTCCTTCAATTACCTCTAAAGGAAAAGGAAGTTCTGAGTGGAGCAGTTCGTTTGTTAAGATGTCATCGTCCGTTGTGACCCCGTCTTCTCAACTTCCTCCTACTCACTTGGCATCAACACCAGGTGTTGTTCGTATCGTCATAACTAAGTCGGCTAACCTGTCATTCCCTACTACAGTAACCAACGCTACATCCATACCGGGATCTACGGCTGGAGATCTTATTAAAGGTTTGTCAAGCCAGTCAGTTATAAAACAGCTTCCTCCCGCATCTATTACCCCATCTGCATCGAGACGTCCAGTCAGTGCCGTGAATACGAAGATGCCTACTCCATCGCCAACAACCACCCAACCTGCCATACTGACAGTTTCACGAGAGGTGTTGATGCCAAACACAAGATCAGTTGGCAAAAGGAACAAATTATATTCTCTTGTAAAGGAAACTACTAGTGCAAAAGTGACACTTATTTCATCAACAGCGCCACGGCTGAGAGAATTAACGAGGTCTTTATTGATTTCATTGTCTTTACAGCGAAGCTTAAACCTATCGTCAATGCCAACAACCTATCTGGCTGAAGAAATAAGAACGTTGCTGGGTCTTGACCTCAGGGCATCAACTGGTGCAAAGGTTGTATCCACATCAAGTCATGTTTCAGTGTCGTTGTCTCGAGGGATTTCATCCTCTCTGAATTGGAATGCAAAATTTTCGTCGCTAACCGCCATATCCGGAGAAAAGGTGACAAAGACATCTGGACTCACTAAAGAGAAGCAGACCAGTTCTCTACGATCTTCTGTACTGTCTTCCAGCATAGAACCGCATAGTCCCGCAACGAACAAGCATGTACCAGCTTCGGTGTCTTTACCGCCCTCTCAGTCAAAACCAATAAATTCATCCCAAGTGAATCATAGGAACTCATTGCTTCGTATACGACCGAACTATACGTCATTTTCTCCTAATAAAACTCAAGAACTTCTGACGTCCTCTCAGATTTCCAATACAAATATGCCGACTAAGAAAAACAAAATACCTAGAAACGGAAATTTGCAAGATTTTGACCAGCAAAATGCCTCTCGCTACAGTGGTTTGAGCAAGACTGTGAGTGAATTAAGTGCTAACGTTCCTAACATGCGACCCATACAGGGATTTAATCGCTCTTTTGTAACGCCTGTCTCCACAACTCCAAGAAATAGAAATAACTTTACCAACGGTATACCGCAACTCAGTTACATTAAAAACGCCACAAGCCACAACAGAGTACCATTCCGAAGCTTAACCCACCCATCGAGCGTGGCCAAAACCCCGCATTTGCTTACATCCATTTCGCTGCTCAGTATTAATTTTTCTATTTCGGGGACTCACAACACCTCGAGAAGAATCAAGAGCTCTTTACATGAGTTACGCTCGCCCACTACATCGACTCTAACAAAGAATAGTTTTTCGATTGTGAACCCATCACCAGTTGGTGAAGTGCCCGTGGCTCCTCTGCGTTTGCCACTCGTGCCCAATGAGGTAAAAGGGAATCATAGCTCTACGGGAAAAAAACACAAACGTTTGGAAATTCCTTTTGCCGGTGGAGTACTGGATCAAATAGAAATGCTTCATTCAGCCTCAACCTTGTCACAGCAGCATTCCACACCTGCGAGCCTATATTCTACGCCAATATCTGGACTCTATCTCGAACAAATAACTCGTGTCTATGAATTGTCCCATCGTCTTTCTGATAAAATTTCACACATTTCGTCGAACTTTTCTGAGAATTTGGCCTCTTCTGAAACGAAGCATGTGGCAAGAAAGAGAAAGACACCTGAGAATGAGCGAGAAAGAGAAAGTAAGGCAAACGTGGGGCGGAATATGCAACACTTAGCCTCAGCCAGCAACGATGGTGAAACTCTCCCAGCGTCTGCTTTGAAGTCTCCCGTTTCAGTTACGTATTCAAGCACCACAACATCAGTGAAACAAGGCAAGGCCAATGACAGACTTCTCTCGCAATTCGAAGCGACACAACTAACGTTGCATTCTACTCCCTTATCTCAAAAGGACCAAGTGGTTCGTTCTTCATCTTTATGGCTCGCAAAACAAACACCACCCATCAAGCTGATTCCTTCGGCAACGGCTGCGCCACTGGAAAGGGAACATAATAAAATACGGACTCGTGTTCTAGCATACACCCCAACATCATACTTCCGCCAGTCGAACTCAATGGTAGACGGGAGTAGTACAATTCGAAAAGAAGATGGTGGGACAGTGAAAACCGCCGTTGATCACGGGACAGTGACTCGATTTTCTTCGGAAACAAACAAATCAGGTGTTCCTACGACAATTGCGCATGATCAACAGAATGTCATGTTTGGCTACTTCGCTCAGCTTCTGAAGAGCATCAAAGACATTCTAACAAAGAAGAACCGCAGAGTGGGCGAAACGTCCATTGTCCCGTTAGCATCGAACGTGCAACAAGCTGGAAGGGGAACAGAAAATCCATCAAACTTTGGTTTTGCACATTCAAGACTACTCGTCTCTAAAACAACTCCTCAGCAATTCAGTTTTGAACAGGTGTCCTCAAGTAAAACAACAGAGATAGTGAGTGTGTTAATATCAAAATCCACAAAAGCCTTGGATATGTCGCTGGCGATGCAGCCATTGCATCAAATGGCCTTAAATGTCACTGGAATTGGAGTAGCGGCTTTATGTAAACATTCAATACCGCGCGAGAATTCAACATTGCGAGGCGGAGCGCAGTCGGGTCTCTTTAAAGAGGTGGGAAAGGTCAACAGTGATACCGAGTGCATCAGTCAGTGTTGTATTTCAAACTCATGTGACGCCGCCTTCTTGTTGTTGAATCGCTGTTTTTTGGTCACGTGCAAAAGCAAGAGTCTCTGCGAGAGTGTCCCAGCTAAGAATATTGTTTTTAGACCCCGAGTAATCTACATGGAGAACAAAATGGCGCTAAACCGACGAGGGAGAGTTCAAGAAGGATCAAAATCCTTATTTTCAGGCAGTCAATCAGGAAGCGTAGCGTTGAAGAAAAGACATCATTCATCTTTTAATCCACCGCAGCTTAAAAATGAAAGAGAAGATCACTGCAAAGCGTCAATAATTCGACAAAATGTAACTCTCAGAGGTGGAATCAGAAGTGGGTATTTTAGAGACCAAGGAATTGTCAAAAGTATGCAAAAATGTGTCGAACTCTGCTGTGTTTCAGACAACTGCACTGTTGCGTTTCTGCTTTTAAATCGTTGCTTTTCCGTTACATGTTACAGTGAGTCCCTGTGTAGCACTATACCGGCCCGAAATTTGATATTTCAACCGCAAGTGGCCTATATAGCACGAAATGACGTTTTAATACTTACACCAAGCAATACTCTTAAATCAACTGGCATTTCGAAGACGCAAACTATCTCAAGAACTTTACCTGCCTTAGATGAGGTATTAGCAGCAAATAGCTCAATGCATCCGAGTGACAACTGTCATCGTGGTAACACTGAGAAAAGCGTAGCCTTCCGAGGTGGACTAAGCGCGGGTTCTTTCTTAGACACTGGTGTAGTTAGTGACATCGAGGAATGTGTAAACAACTGTTGCCATGCAACTAAATGCGACGTGGCCTTCATGATAATGAAAAGATGCTTTTTAGTGACGTGCTATAGTGCTCGCTTGTGTCAGAGTGTCCCTGCCCGCAATATGGACTATCTTACTGAAATGGTACATGTTTTCCGAGATGAAACCGCTGTGGTACGAGATCTTCTCGCAAGGATTGTACAGCCTTCATCACTAAGTGTTAAAATGAAAAGACTCTCCTCGACACTGAGTATTACCAATTACAAAAAACATCTTCAGAATACTAGAACCTCACTGTTTATTAATGATGTCACGGATAGCGTGACAGCTATCAAGAAAAACAAACATTTGCCAGCAGGGAGCCATTTAAGTGGCACCTACATGGGGTCAAGTTTATCTTCTACGCCACCCGCTTTACCTGCTCAAGGGGCGTTCATCGAATCAGTGATTGCACCGTGGAACGTCAACAAACATGATAATGTTGGGTTAATTCAAACATTAAGTATGTCAACACGTCTAAATCGAGCTCGTCATACCTTCGATCAAACAATTACGCCATCTTCACAGACTGTTCTTTCACTTTCATTGACCTCGGGATGGAATGAAAGTGTTGGAAAAGTAAGTGGCCAAGGAAAACAATTGGAAACTGGATTGTCTTTGGAAGATGAAATATGTCAAAGCACATATGTTTACTACAATGCAACCATGCGTGGCGGAATTAATGCTGGCGTTTTCAAAGACCAAGGAGCCGTGCAGAACATGCGGAAATGTATTGAACAATGTTGCCGATGGCAGTTCTGTAGCGTGGCATTTATGCTTTTAACTCGCTGTTACATAATAGCTTGCTACAATGAACACTTATGCGATCCCGTTCCAGCAAGGAATGTCACGTTTACGCCTCGGGTCGCTTTTATCTCTCGTGTCCGAAGAGATCACGGTTTGGAAAACATCTCAGCGCCACTGTTCAAAACGTCTTCGAAATTCGACCTGAGAACTTCACCGTCAGAGACAAACTCGAAGGCCATTAAAGCACATTTGCACACAGGAATTATATCTCCGTCCACAGAAACTTCCAAGATAATGACTTTTTCTCACTCTGCTGAGGTCAAACCTTCTCCATCTCGCTCGATGATTTCCAAAGTGTTTACACTTGACTCAAGATCACGTCATAATTGCACTCAGAGCGAAGAAAAGCATAATGTAACGCTCCGAGGAGGACTCGGTGCGGGGCATTTTAAAGACATGGGAAAAGTCCCGGGCATGCAAAAATGTATTAATTTCTGCTGCATGCAAGAACATTGCGACGTTGCGCTAATGCTTTTGGAAAACTGTTTCACTGTAATCTGTCACAACAAACGCCTCTGTGAGAGCGTACCTGCTAAGACGGGGCGGTACAAGTCAAGAATGGTTTTCGTTGGGAATGCTAGCTCTGTTTCTTCGATTCATTTATCAAATAAACCAACCAAGACAATCTCCCTTCTTGATGCAGCTTTGCAAGCTATGGGAGAATATCATGTGAATGGGACTTCTCCCGCTGGAACAAAAATCACCTTTTCAGATAGGAACAGTGCCTTAAATTCGAAACAACTCGCTAAAATGCCAGTACCCTCTCAGTCGCTTAAAGTTGCTGGGCTGAAAAGCAGCGAGAAAAATTATACAAATCAAACCAAAGACAGGAAAGAACATCTGCTTCCAAGTCTTCCAGAAGAGTTGAAACGATCTGCGACGATGACTAATTCAAGTCAGTCGCACCACAATCAACTTGACCTGATGAAAAAATCTGAAACATCGGGTCACAACATCACTTCGCCAACTTCTTCAACAGTAAGGTTGAACGCAAGTGTTTTGGCTCCCAGCGAGTCAAGTAAATCAGCCATAGAGGAGGGGTTAAAGTCTGATAATAAATCTGGGCTAAGATTGGCTTTTAGTGACTCCTCGCGACACTTAACCACTCAACCTTCCCCTTGTCTCAATAGTCCGATCTCTTACAATGTTACGCTACGCAACGGTATCCGATCGGGCTATTTCAGAGACCAGGGGAGGGTTGAGAACATGAGCGAGTGTGTACAAAAGTGCTGCAGCTCTGAGGACTGCGATGTGGCTTTCGTGCTCAAGCAACGATGCTATCTAGTCAAGTGCTACACCAAGCAGGGATGCGAGACAGTTCCAGCCAGACACAGTGAATTCAGACCACGTGTTTCGCACGTCCGAAGGGCAAATGATTCCCAACTGATTTCTTTTATGGACGAACAGGAAACAGACAACAGACATGATTTTAATGGGAAAACACCTTCCGTCCAGCCTCGTAGCAGTACTCAGTTAGAACATATTACATCGTCATCGACCCTCCCCGCACTAGTTAAATCCGTCGATCATAGGCGTAAACAGAAAGAGAAACCAAGAACGTCCTCAGTTAAGATAAAGGCATCTACACGTCACGGGAAAAGAAAAAATCTCAAAGTAAGAGCAAGAAGCAGAGTAGGAGCTAGAAGCTCAGGAAAGCGCAAGAACACAGTTCACGTGACCAAAACACCAAACACTGATAAAATTAACAGAAGAAAGTCCAGAAAGAGAAAACAAAGAAAGAAGCAGAACGATAGTAAGAGAGAAGCAGCCAAAGCCAAACAACAGCATTTTAAGAATAAGCTTGAGAAGAAAAAGGATCGGAAACTCTCCAACCGTGATCTGGATCAGTTATTCCAGCTCATGAGACCCGCTGAGCCGGTGAGTCACTCTTCAAGCAAGTCAGAGTCTGTTGCGTCAATCATTCCTTCCAAAGACTTAAAGAACAGAATGAATCCTGTGGAATTGATAAAGGAAGATGAAAGGAATGACTTACAGTACGAAAATGCAACAATTACAAATTCCGTTCCAGACAACCGAATTTCACATGAGGAAACTCGTCATAGGGCCAGTCGTACAGGCGAGGAAAACGAGAAGTCAAATAAGACAACAGCAGTTACACACCCACGAGAGCGTCCTCCTTCTCTTGAAGGCCAAAGGAGTTATACTTCAACAAAAGGTGCAAATTCAATGGTAATCAAGGCTTATAATAAAGCTAAAGTTAAAAATAGCGTTTCTGGTAAAGTGAAAGTTTCAATTGAAAAGAAAGGAAATGGACATAACAAAAAGCTCGACATAGCACTGATCGCTAAACCAGCAATGAAGGCCACGCGCCACAAACCAACAGCCAAGGAAAAAGTGACCTACACCGCTAGCAAAGATTTACTTAAACACGCGAGAAGACCAACCGTTGGTAGGCACTCAAGCCCAACTGCAACTACAGCACGTGTCAGTCTCACACAAAAGCCTACAGTTAAGCCACCTAAAGTCTTGTCGCATAACAGGAGGAAATTCCGTGCGACAAAATCCACTGTCCCTGCCGTACCCACTCAAGCTCCTGATGTCGAAGTGTCAAGTTGTGTAACAGGTGAAGTGGAATACAACCGAACTTTACGAGGCGGACTTTCTTCGGGTTTGTTCCACGAGGTGGGCAAAGTGAACGACATCCATAGTTGCTCGGAGCACTGCTGTGCCAGTCTTATCTGTGATCTAGCATTTATGGTACTTAACCACTGCTTCTTGGTAACTTGTTCAAGTTCTAATCCCCATATGTGTGATAGCACACCAGCCTTGGCGACGACTTTTCATCCGATGATTTCTCGCGTTTCACGAAGTGAAAGTGGACAACTGACTGATCATGGGACGGAAGCTGCATCAACTGGCAAGATAAAGCCTGCCCAGGCTATGAAAACTAATGTTTCACCCACTTTGTCTAAAAATGTTACAGTAACGAAAGAACCGGTAGTTGTCCAAAACATGATCAATCAAACAAGCTCTAAAGATCCACTAAATTTGTCTACCAAGCCGATTAACACGACTCTAACAGTAACGACAATAGGGGAAGTCGATCAAGTTTCCATGGTGAATCCGCCAACTCCTCCAGGCTGCATTTCTTCTATAACGGCACACAATGTTACTCTAAGAGGTGGTCTCCATGCGGGAAAATTCACAGACGCTGGTAGAGTCAATGGGTCTTACATTTGTACTGAACTTTGCTGTAAGTCAGATGAATGTGACGTGGCATTTTTCGCGTTTCATCGATGTTTTTTGGTAAAATGTTTCGATGAGTATCTTTGCACTTCTACGCCTTCGCTTCTACCGAACTTCAAACCAACAGTTGTACACGTATACCATCATCATTTTAAACCAACGCCCAAACCAGCGACAACTTTACCACCTATCAACGACGTGCTTAAAGAAATCGAAGATGAGACGCAAACAAAATCGAAGAAGAATAGGAATAAGACATGCGCTCACTCTGAAGTTTATGAAGAAGTTACTCTCAGAATGGGCTACAAAGCTGGCAATTTTACTCCACATGGCAAGGTCAACTCTACAAGTCAGTGCGTGGATTACTGTTGTAGCCAACCGCATTGTGACTTAACGTTCATGTTTCTCAACAACTGCTTCACAGTGTCTTGTATCAGTGGCTACGCCTGCGAGATCGTTCCTGCAAGGCAGTCCAGATTTAAACCGAAGGTTGTATATTTTGTCAAGAATAATTCCACAAGAGTGATCAAACCATCAGATTTTAACTCTTCTCTTACTGATCCTGGATCGTTTGTGGGAAAACAACCGGTGAATGCCGTGCACTATAAGGAGGTGCGGTTGAATAAGAAAAACAGTAATTCTTACCAAAAAGACGTCAGCCAAGGAAACAATAACACCGAAACAGTGGATGAGATATTTGTCGAAGTCCCAGAAAACGCGGTCACTTCTCGCAATAAAATTAATAATGCTGAAAAGGCGAAAGTACAAGCTAAGTTCAGCACTAGCAAAAACACTACTCTCATATTAAGCCGTCTGAGCACTAGAAAACATCTTAAGAACGAGCATAAACTCGGAATGAAAAGTCATAACCGAAGCCAAGCAGTTAAAAAGATTGATATTGTCCTAAATAAGTTAACCAACGTCACAGAAGAGAACAAACGTCTTGAGGGAGAAATTCACAATCTTATCGCTAAACAGTTCGAGCAGGTGAATGAAAAGAAAATAGCGACTGGTGCTTCGGGTAGAAGTAAGGAGGCAGCAAAGAAACTAAACAAACAAACAAGGAAAGGGAGAGGAAGAAAGGATTGGCATCAGACCAGGAGACGTGTAGATAAAGAAGGGGCTAGTGAGTATGGATCCGGAATAGACTCCAACGCGCAGAAAAGAGTGGTACTTGTGGACACGGACAGACCCCCTGTCTATCCGCCTACAGACGAGCATCGCATTGAAGAGCATAGTATCCATTCATTCCAGTCCATAAAGCCTCAAAAGAAACCTCGACAGAAAAGGCCAAAGGCTCCAACCACTCAGAAACAGCGGAAAATTTCAAAATCCATGCAAAACCATTGGGATCCAACAAATGAACACGATATTGAAGAGCATGTCATTTATAATCATACGAAGAAAGAGAGACACACAAGCAAACCGAACAAGAAAATGCACGGTGAAGTCCAAGAAGGCTCTGAGATTCTGTACGGACAGCCTGAAAACGACAAAGACGATAACAGTGAAAAAGAACCACAAGAGGGCATTTGGAACAATTTTAACAATGACCGCAAGGATCCCGGGGAACATCATCATGATCAAACGGTATCTAGTGGTGGATCGCACTTTGTCGTTAAGAATGAAAATGCGAGAGAGAAACCCGACAAAGGTGATTTCTATTCTGAACATTATGATGACTCAAAAACCTCAGAAACCCGCGAGTGGTTTGGTGCTGGGGGTGGTAACAGAGATAACCTAGAGAAGATTCAAACGCCCAAGAACCTGCCTCGTGGAAATAAAAGAAAGCAAAGTGAATTTCACCAGCCAAAGTCATCGAGAAGGCATGAATGGATGAATGTGGGCAGTGGAGAAGATGATGTCAAGAACCACCAGCAAGAAGATATCTCAACTGAACTTGTTCGTTTACCTCAACAACACGCGTACAAGGAAAGTTCAGTAAATGATTTCCATATTCATAGGGACGATAACCCAAAAGACTCTGAAAGATTTTCCTGGAGGAGTTCGAGGAACAGAGACAATGATAATATGGAAAAATTTATAAATCAAGTCACTCCGACTCATAAGTCGCATTTCCATTTTAGAAACCAAAGAAAGAAAAATCGTGATAAAAATGAAGAATTCCACGCTGAAAAACAGGAAGAAGAGAGTGCATCTGAAAATCATAGGTGGATAAGTTCGAGCGACGCTAACAGTGGCTTAGAGGAAAACTTCCCAGTCCAAGTGGCTCCTTCTCATCAGAGAGAGTTCCAGTTCGATGAACAAAGAGGAAACAAGAATGACAATGGGGAGAAATTCCATTTTCAGCACAGCAATGTTAATTCAAAGCACTCCGGAAGAAATGTTTGGTTAGGTAGTACTCGAAATAAAAACACAGATCATGTAGGAGGCTTTCACGATCAAGTAGCACCGACTCATAGAGTACGTTTTGATTACACAAACAAGAAAGCGAATGGCAACAGAGACGAGGACGAAATCTATGTTGATAATGAGGACGAGTCAGGTAATACTGAAACACGAGTGTGGAGTGGTTCGAAACGAGAGGAAGATCGCATGGGAAGCCTTAACAAGCAAGTGGGTCCAACGCATAAGTCACGATTCCATCTTCAAAACAAGAGAAAGAACAAGGAAACAAGTCAGGATAAAATGGAGATTGATGTTCAAACTTATCCAGAGGATTTGGATGAGCCTGTGTGGAGTAGTGGGAGGGATAGGAGCAAAGATGACGTGGAAAGCTTCCGCGTGCAAATAGCGCCCACTCAAAGATCTGGTTTTCAGTGGAAGGATCACAGAAAGAGCAAAGATAAGAGCGGGGATAAAATTCACCTACAACACCAAACTGGTGGTGAGCCTGTTCCCGATTATGGCAACGTTTGGGACCGGGAAAAGTCGATGCAAGGTAGTTTGCGAAAGGAGCACAAGTTTGGCTTCACCGTAACTAAATACGTTGAGCCGACTTCGTCAGAATTTGCTAGATTAGACAAGAACTTTGAAAAATATCACCCAGAGCATAGCATTGAAAGGCCTGCCTTTGTGAAAAACGACTTTTCTCAAGCACAGAAGAATTTGATGGCAGTTAATGGTGAAGGTAGCGCAAAACAGCATGTGACAAGAACGAACTATAGTCATGGGAAAACTGACTTTGACGCGGTATACAAAAAAATAAATAACATCTATAAACGCCTAGAGAAGCTTCTTGAAGAACATTCTAAAAAGGAAAGTAATGCAACGTTAGCCTCTTTCAACGAACAGAAAGGAGGAGGGTATGAAGTAGAAAATAACCATGTTAGAAGACTCGAAGAAGATATTCCAACGCCACCGGTATCAGCTTCAAGGCCAACAACTCGAGCCTCGAGGATTGCAACGCGTACTAAGAAAGTCAGAGTTGTGAAGCAATTTGTAACAGATGATTTGGGGGGCTCAGGTACGTCACCAAGGAGTCACGGTGAGAGCCTGATGGACTATATTAAAACAATCTATAGCCGAGTGCAGTGGTTGTATAAGAGGAGGGATAGGCGCACATCTGTTAAACTAAAGACCAAAATAACCAGCCGCAAAAGAAAGAAGTCACATCACCTTCATAACCCGAGAGAGAGAACCCAAAATAGGAAAACTAATAGAAGAAAAAATCAGTCTGAAAAAAGGAAAGTACATCATCGTGGGAACATCCATGAAGAAGCCCTCCTGAAGGAGATGAGGCAAATTTATAGAAATATGAAGAAACTATACAGTGACCAGAGGAAAGAACAGAGAAAAGCAAAAAAGATTAAAGAAAGAGCCGAAAAGCATCAACACCAGCGCTCCTATATTCCTCGGCAGCGAGGGACGAGTGCAGTTCCGAATGGCCTGGTAACAAGTAAGGATTCCAATCCGCTGACTAGCCGTGCGACAGGTCCGCAATCCCAGCCACACGTTCATGAAACCGGTGGGTACCTGTTATGTATTGTCTGATCTGCAATTTGAGAAATTTCGTCTTAAGAAACGTGGATATCAAAAGCAGGTTGTGAAAACTGTCCGAAAGAATCAATTTACGAAGCTTGGGAGGCTTAGCTGCACTCAGAAAGTCTTAAATAACCTGAATTCGTTAGATAACGATACATCAAAAAAGCCGGTTTGTTACTTTTCCTAAACTTCCGCCCCAATCGATGTGTCTTTTGCTTCATTTCATTTAGGACAGGACGCAACAAAGGAAATTGTAAATAATTTTTTATTCTTTATTTCTTCAATCTTTTTTCTCAGCTTATGGGCCTAAAACTACAGGTGAAGTCCCAGTCCGGTCTCAGAATGAAAACCCCTGGTATCGTAAGAACTTCAGACCAACAGAACCTCGAAAAACGCAACACGATAACTTGAGAAGACATGGCGGTATTTTGGCGAACAAGATCTCTTCGAGACATCCCACCGTGAACCAGTCTTTCATTGACAAGATAGTTGAAGAAATCGAAGCAAAGCATCCGATTCTCACAAAGGAAAAAAGTAGCAAAGATGATAGCTTACAACGACTAATTGACAATGTGGCGGATAGTGTCGTCAAACAGGTCACAGAGGAGTTTACCGAGCCGCAGGCCAAGCCAAGTAGACGTGTCAACGTACCTAAACCATGGTCGCAGACAGAAATATCGGTTCCCACCGGTACTATGGCAGACATGCCTCTACTTAATGACTTTCAGAGTAAAAAGCCCTACGCGAAATCTTCTTTGGTAAAAGATATTACCCCAGACCTCCCCCCTGAAATAATCAGCAGTGACGAGGTCAGTGGACAATTGTCGCCTGACTCCTCCCTGGAGGAAGTCAAACCCTCGTCAAAGTCACCGCCTCAGAGATCACGCTTCGCACATCAAAGGCCGCAACCTGAAGAACCAGGAATGCAAGAGATGCGTGAAATGTTTAAGTTCAGACATCGGTACGATAAACAGAAGCCCAAGTCGCAAAGCGGGAAGAAAAAGGTTACAATCCCTGCCACAAGTGAAGGTATAATATTTATTCTGTTAAATTTTTTTTTTTCGTCCGTTACTTCTTAAGCTGTTCTTGTAGGTTACTCATTGGTTTTAAAAAAAGAAGACAATTGTTTTAAGGCTCATTTTTATTTGTTATCCTAACATTTTGTCGCTATAATCCGTCTGTCCGACGTTAATCTTTGTTCACATTATTAAGTCAGAGGGTTCAATCTATTAATTCCTCTATTGCTATCAAGGAAATATTGATTAAAATTAATTTCAATACATTCATCAAACCTTTCAAGCTACAGTTTTTGTAAAATGTTACGTTCATGATAATCAAGGGGACTTCTACACTCCAATTTTGTAATCTCGTCTATTTTATCGTCTATCCCTTTTTCTTTTTTTTTTTTTGTTTTTTATAGAACTTTAGAAACCCTCTATAGATTTTACTTATAGTTTATTTACGTATACGAAACAGACAGATTTTCTCGTAAAAGCCGTGCTGCGTTCAACACTCGAACAAAGATGATTTAATTAAATGATGAATTAGTTTGTTCACCTCTAATCTGTCATACCTTGACAAAGCCGGTTTGACCGAATAGCATAACATTGTAAGAGATCTTTATGAGCTCTTGCATTGTTGTGCTGTTCGGGAAAGCTTAATCAACAGTGTGCAACGACCAGGAAAAGTTACATCGTAACCTCTGACCCACCCATTTTATTATTTTAGCCACTCGTTTTTGAAAGGTTTGTTTTCAAGTCATCGCAATCGTATTCTATTGTATATGGTTGTCGATGTTTTCTGTTTTTTTAGCTTCCCTTTTTTTTATCATCACGATAGGAGAAACGGTTGTAAGCTAACGAAAAAAAGACACCATTGTTTTCTGTATTTAACTCTATTACGCCTAGGGGTGACTTAAAAGGAATTTCTCTGTATATATCGACTCATTTTCAACCGGAGGGTTAATGAGGTGAAAAAAAAAACAAAATATAATTTAAGGGATATTGTTTGATTTTGCCTCAAATTCTCAGAAATAAATTTTTTAGGAAATAAACGAAACGGTTGTTCACTTAAACCAGAAGGCAGGGATGCCGAAGAGCAAGTGAAAGCGGCTGTAACGGGGGCTTAATTCTTTGGGTTTGTTAATTGCTCCCTTCCTTGCTCCAAGTGTATTTTAAACACCCACAAGCCATATTTAAATTAGCTTTTGCTGCGTATTTCCCACAGACGAGTTCAAAATCAGTAATGTTACCTGCATAATTAAACAAAATGCATTTTTTTTGTTATTTTTTGTTATTCAGGTAACGCAGCCTACTTAGTGCTTCATATAGGCTTTGAGGAAATCGAAAATCGCACAGCCCTTGACAGCTCAGAGCATAAGAACAATGCCATTCTTAGTCCAGAGGTGCGCCTCTCCGTGACCGAGTCCAAATGTGGCTCTGCCCTGAGCATGCGCGGTGGACGCTTAGTTTTCACCCATTTCAACAGTCGTCCACGTGAGGCGATAACAATCACTTTGTGGCTTAAACTAGACTCAGTCTCGGGAACAGCCACTTTGTTCAGGACGACGGGGTCTGGAGCTAAGTACAACCTACAGTACCGCGAAGGCAATATTCATTGGTCTCACGTAGATGACTTAGGGCACATAATATTTAGCATGGCAACAAGGCAGACGGTAGACTCGCTAGATTGGGTGCATCTCAGTGTTACTTATGACGCACACATCAACATGAGCAAGATTATTTTGAACGGAGCCGTTCTGGACGAAAAAGAAGGCCATGGATTGCTATCGCAAAATTGGGACGGCGACGTCGGGATCGGAATTCCCGAAGGGATAAGAGGACTTATGGACGAATTTTATATGTACAATCATGCGCTTGCCGTGTCCGATTTAATTGATCTGTCGGAGGAATGCAATCCTGGAGCAGGTATTAAACATACTTATTGTGCAACTTTGTGAAAGGTTGTTTTCTGTTTTCTTACAAAATGCCCAAAGAAAAACCAAGTATTATGTTCTTGGCAAGCTCGTTGAACATGATGCGTCAAAAATCCTAAACAGTGATTAAGGTAATTAGACCTTTCGAGTCCACAGTTCTCGTGGTAACATGATTGTTTTTTGCTGCCAATGACAACAGACCTAAGATTGCTTTATACTCCACTCTACTACATGTACCGTTTGCTCAGGAAATCATCAATCGTAATCTTGAATGAAGGCTTTTAGGGATTTTTATCTTATGGTATGATAAAGCGATGGGAAAAATATTATGAGTACGAAACTATATGCAAAACAATAAAAATGAATCAATCTTTATATACGACTTTGCATACCTGTTGAAGGTTGTTAGGTTGTTAAAGTTTGGCTAATTGCACTGTGTGACCTTCGTTCAGGTGGGGCTATTCCTCTTAAGGAAGGAAGCTACGATGGTCTCATACCTGACGACATGATTCAAGGTGCAATATTACAGCTGCATCCAAACGCTTCAACGACAAAAAAGCCGAAAGCTGCCATAACAACTCATACCACTGCCAGCACATCACCTACAACAAGACCAACAACGCGGCCCACTACGCCTACCACAAGGCCGCCCACAACAACATCAACAACAACCGCGCCTACAACTAAACCCGCAGCAAATGCCAGGACGACACCATATAAGCCAACTCTTCAGGTGCCGTCTAGCGCTTCCCTTTCTAAAAAGACTGGCTCGGGTATTATTCCGTCCACAATCACCTTACATGACGAGCCTAACTGCCAGCAAGGGATGTTTTATGATAGCAGCGAGTTACGAGGTGGCATGGATGCGGGCTTATTCATAGACCTGGGGCGAGTGAAAGGCTCAACAAGTTGTTTGAAATTCTGTTGTGAAATTGAGTCATGTGACCTGGTTTTCATGACGCGCGACAGCTGTTATGCCGTGGACTGTTACAATAACAAATTGTGCGAGCCTGTGCCAGCGGACTCTTACAGGAGTGACATGCCCAGCGTCCATTATGTCACCAGGAGTGGGAAGTCAGTTCTAGATGAAAGTGAGTACATTATCGTGGAATTTATAAATTTTCCTCGTTAACAAATATACCTCTGAGTAGCGTAGTCTTAATGAAAGAGCTGGAAGGACTGTTGCGTTTCAAGAGAGGATATTTATGTCGTTGATGAGTTTTCAAGATAATGTAACCACATTACAGTTTGTGGTATCATTACATTAAATGAAGTAAGAAATTAGACCAATAATTGCCTTAATGCACGATAGTGTTAACTAACCAACTGAATCGTAATCTTCCGCAAATAGTGATAAGTTTTGATGTAATCTAGTAGTAAACTGTTTTGCTTCTTGTTATATACATTTTCTCTTTTAACGAAACATTTGCCTTTACTCCTTGATTACTTCACAGAGTTAAGAAAGTTAGAGCACCGACCAACAACTCCCCCAACTATCCAACTGCCAACCTTTCCACCGACACCCTACAGAACAATAGCAAATGATATGTTCCTTCCATACAAAGAAATCTCTACGCGTCCAACATTTGCTCCGTCAAACACAAAACGTTTCTGTGCCCAAGGAATGTTCTTCTACAACGTGAAACTTCGAGACGGCTGGAACGCCGGAATGCTGCTTCAAGTTTCTAGGGTACGGAGCATGGAGAAGTGCATCCAGGTTTGTTGTGATGAGCCTGCGTGCGACTTTGTGATGCTGAAACAAGGGAGGTGTTACAGTGTGCGGTGTAAGGGTGGTGATACTTGTACGGTAGAGGAAGGAGGAGAATATCAAATTTCGTTTGTGAGCAGACAAGGTGAGAAATGAGCCAGTTCCTAAAAACTTTGGTGATTCACTGTATTTTGTGATCTTTTTTACCTGCTCATAGATTTCTCGTATTTTTAGTGGTACATGGGCCCAACTGGTATATTAAAAATCGTTTGATTTGTAGGGTTTTTTTTTCGGTCTTCGCAAATACAATTAAATCAAACACGTAAATTTTGTACCACGTAAACCTGATAGCATCGTTGTACTAATTCATAAAACAGATATGGTCGAAGACGAAACACAATCCACACCGACCCCTACCCCACTACCTCTCAGTCCTTTAGGAGGAAAAATGGACGAGCTGCCAGGTAGTCATCTTCGTTATCTGTCGCTGTACCTTGGTTTTGATCACGTGATTGGTTCTGTGGCGGTGGACGGATCTGGCCTAAACAATGACGCAAGATTAACGAGAGGTAATTTAACATGGAGACAATTTTAAAGTAATTGCTAGATCTTTGGGAGAAACAGACGATTTTTACCTCTCAATATTTAGTGTCGTCACAATTTTCAGAATCGAGTACTTTTTATTCGTTTATGATTTAAATTAGGATAGCTATCGATAACGTTATTGATTGAATGGGTTTTTTAATATTTATTTATTTTTATTTTTTATTATTATTTTTTTTATGCTGCAGGCACCGAAGTTGCAAGACCTGGTGAGCGAGGAGTAGCAATCGAATTGAACGGTGGCGATGTACTTCTCGATGGTGAACACTTTCGGGAGAAACCACGCGAAGCCGTCACCATTGCCTTATGGTTAAAACTGTGGAGAACCGGTGGAGTTCATTCCATTTTTGACACAATCGGTGGACATTCTATTCACAGCAAAGGACAGTACCACTTTGAGGTGTACGATGGGCGATTGAGGTGGTTCCATCGTAATGAATACGCTAAGGAAGTCTTCAATGTCAGGACTTCGCCAGTTCTGCAGCCAAATCTGTGGTACCACGTAGTAGGCACTTACGATTCGCGCACGCACATGGCCAAAGTCTTTATCAATGGTGACTTGGTAGGAGAGGGTCGTGGCAGTGGTATGCTCTCCCTAGATTGGGAAGCTAAAGCAGGGTTTGGTTCACATTCTGGGCGAAGGATTTTACTCGGCTACCTTGATGAGATTTATGTGTTTAGGCGGGCGGTTCTGGAGAAGGAAATTGATAGATACTTGGAGAATTCTAACAGTGACTCTCTCTTTCATTCGGAATCCAACTCTGCTCTCACGGAGACTTTCACTGAAAGTCCTTCTGATGATAGCTTTTCAGATGTTAATACAGACTCTGTTTGGTTTTCAAAACCAACAAGCCACTTAAGTAATCTTCCCATCCAGAGTACTTCTAACAACAACATGAACTTCATGGACCAAGCAAAAAACAATAGTGCTTCAACACTTGGTACAACAACAGTTGTTGTCAGCGCCGCGAGAGAAAAATCGGGATCGGAAGAAACATTGAAGATGCCAGCAGTGACGTCACCGCAAACGACAGATACAACTACAGAAACAACCACATTATCAACGACGCCGCCAACCACGTTGAAATCAACAACGATGCTCAAAATGACTGTGTCACCTCATACAATAGGCGGCACTCCACCAGAAAGACTCAAAACGTTGTGCAGATTGGGAGATGTTTATAGAAATAGAGATCTTGTCGGTGGATTAGGCGCAGGAAATTTCACCGACAAAGGAAAGGTTGATACCATTGAGGAGTGTATGAAAATTTGCTGTGGAATACGAGATTGCTCTGTAGCTTACGTGGTGGAAAACAACTGCTTTGCCATAACTTGTACGGAAAAGGAGCAATGTAAAACGTTTATCAAGAGCCCGTCGGAAAATAGTCCTGTCATTGGATTTGTGAATCGAAGCGGTCCGAAAGGTGAGTTACCCAGAGCCATTTGTCGTGTCCGTAGAGGTAAATAAATTTTTTCGACGAATATCTTTTTTTTCGTTTGATCTGTTTATAAAGAGCATCTATGTGCTCTGATAAATCATATGTATGCGAGGAAAGCATCCAAGTGCTCGCCAGGCCGCTATTGTTAAGTCTGTTTTTACCGTATTATGAAAGTTGGGTATAAACTATGGCCATCGGCAATTTTTCCTTACTTTATACCTTGAATGTCTTCTTCCAGAATCAACTTCTCGTCCTTCTACGAAGAAGGAAAATGAGAATCTAGCTTCTCCAGTTGACGATACACCAGTAGAACCAAATGCAAAGTCATTGGACGCCCCACAAGGTGATAAAGAACCTGCCTTCAACTTGATTGGCATGCTTTCAACTAAGAAGCCCACTCTAAATACGACACCTGAGCCCCCACTATCGAGCTGTAACTATGGCAGACTTTACCGCCACGTGACTTTAGTGGGCGGGCTCCGTGCTGGGGTTTTTACACGGCTAGCTGAGAATACGGACATGGACGAATGCGCTCGGAAATGCTGCGCCCGGAGGTCATGTGATGCTGCGATCCTCATGAGGTCCACGTGCTTTGGACTGCAGTGTTCCAGTTCAGAACTCTGTAGTACGAGGCCGTCACGTTTAAAGAACTTTTCTCTTCACATAATGTATATATACAGAGGAGAAACCAACGGTAAGTCTCGCTCGGATGTGTTGTAATTAAGCTTTTCACTTGGAGTGAGATGCACTCTGAGGCGAAAATAATATATTTTATCGGATTGCGCAAGGAGTAAGAAAGATAACAAAAGTGTCTAGCTTTTATTATGGTTGACTTATCCGTAAATGTCAAAGAGCCACTTGCAACAAATGAATTTGTTTCTTTTCCTTCTCTAGCTCGGACTACGCCAACACAAACTTTCAAGACAACAGAACCATCTTTAGAAGACCTTCTCGGAGATGTGAAACCCACGCAATCTGCTACAACTATGTCATCGCTGAACAACATGCTCGGCTTTCCTCGCATGGAAAACAATCATGAGACTTATTCCAAGGCTTTTTCCGAGTGTTCTCAGGGACTGATGATTAACGATGTAATCTTAAATGGTGGCATGGGTGCTGGCGAAGTTTCTCAGTTTCCCCGCGTGAGTGATATACAGCTTTGTATCGAGAAATGTTGTTTGACTACAAAATGCCATTTGGCTTATGTCATACAAGCGGTATGCTACACCGTAAATTGCTTCAGCCGTGATCTCTGTCGAACGAGACCTATCGAGGACACGGCGGTCCACTCAGTGATCGCTTACATCAAAAGGAATGGCCTAGCGATGTTTAGCAGCGCCAACGAAGCGAGCGTGATGCAGCTCGGGAACGCGAGCATTGCCTCACCTGAAGGTAAACCAAGTCCTACCGCCAGTGCAGTTGGAGCTTCTCAGAACAACATGATCTGCCAGAAAGACAGAACGTTTTACAACGTACAACTCAAGGGAGGTCGGAGCGCGGGTCAATTCACCGAGAGAGGCCAGGTAATGGATATCAGTCAGTGCATAGGGATCTGCTGCGAGGAAAGATCATGTGACTTGGCCTACATGGAGGGTCAGCGATGTTACACGGTGAAATGCAACAGTCAAGACACGTGCAAGCTTATCGAAGCTAGTCCTCTCGCGGTCAAGACTGTCTTGGGCTACGTCAATAGGCTGAAAGACAATAATGTTTTGCAAGGTAAGATATACAATTCAATTCCTCAAAAATGTGTTGATAGTTTTTCTTTATCATAATTTTCATGTTCAATCAGAGTGAGATGTAAAAATAGTCAAAAGACTTGTAATGCGTACTTCAAGAGAGCAGGCGACAGGAAACTTTATAGCCTACTATTTAATTTCTTTCGACAGTCACTCCAAGGCCGACTGAGCCGGCCACGGCAAGGTTACAAAGTACGGTTGTTAAGAATGTTGATGAAAATGGTAGTCACCACAAAGAAGACGACAAACAGGATGCCTCGAAACCGTATCATGTACTGAAAAAGAAATTACATAAACACAATCAACATCATCGTCATCATCATCATCAAGGTAGGACAACAACGATCTCACAACTACTCTTTTTCTAAAGAAAATAAATAGGAAAACTAAGCTTAACAGTTCATTTATTGCTATTCGTTGTTCTTTTTGTAGGTGAGCAGAAGTGTCCCACCAAAAGATACGGCTGCCAGCATCATTGTATTCATCTCCCGGATGGAGGTCATCGTTGCATCTGTCGCCATGGTTACAGTTTGGCGCAAAACGGAAGACATTGCGAAGGTAAAAGTTACAAAACATGTCATTATCAGCAAATCATATGTCCTAAGTACATCTTGTGATCGTTGAAAAGAAAACTTTGATTTACTCCTTTCAATTTTAGAATTCACGAGAATGTCGAAAATAGAATCCTGTTCCAGCCAATTTGGAGTCAAGCGAGCATCAATGCGATACTCGACTGCCTAACTTTTTTGGAACTCTTATTAAAGCCTAACATGCCATCAATAGATATTTAATATAAACTGCCCCTACTGAAATGAAGTAACAATGATAATCCATCTAACGAATGCAATTCGTTGAGGAGTAACGCCATATGTTTCACATTTTTCACAGACGTAGACGAATGTACCGATAACACGCATGGCTGTGAGCATGAATGCATAAATTATGAGGGCAGTTACCTGTGTGAGTGCCACAGTGGATTTATGCTGAACAGAGACTCGAAACATTGTGACGGTAAATAACTTTGACTAACATGTAACGTGCTTTAAAGATTCAGAAATGACATCAAGATCGTAGAGATCGTTCAGCGTGAACTCTTCTCTGGTCTCAAAGCAAATTTCCAAAAGTTTGCATGACATAAACCGCTCAACTTGCTGGTTTTTGCTTTATTTTATTAACGCCTTTTTATTTCCCATTCCAGACCTCGATGAATGTACCATGGGTGTCCACAGCTGTGAGCAATCATGCCACAACACTCCTGGAAGCTACAGCTGCTCCTGCGAAGAAGGGTTTCAACTCCGTGCAGACAAACGACACTGTATAGGTATGTCTATTGGGCGTTGCGGTTCTCACGCTCATTTCTCATTTCTCGGTTCTCTGTTCTCGGTTTTCAGTTCTCGGTTCTCGGTCCTCGTTTCTCATTTTTACTTCCCACTTCTCAGTTTTCACTTCTCACTTCTTATTTCTCATTTTCCTTTTTTTTTTTAATTCTTATTCATTATTTCACTATTTCTCATCTAATCATTGGCGCTAATTTTGCACGTGTCTTTTTTTTCCCAGAAATCACAGAAACGGGATCCAAGAAAGATCAAGATTATGCAGCTTTCTCCGGACTAGAAAGTAAATGATAAATTTTCCTTTTATCAAGTTTTATATCCAGATCCCTCTTTTTTATGGCCAATATTAAAAATTATTTTGTTTCTACTTTTTAACCCCTTAGTCCCAACAGCAATAACACAGTCACCTAAGGATCTCAGAATAACCCAGTTTGAATCCGGGATCTTTCACTGCAAGGCACGTGGCCACCCAGCGCCACATATCGCTTGGGCGTCAGGGTTTAATGGTGACCAACCCATCCCTGCTGAAGATAGGTTCAAAATTCTACCCACCGGCTCCTTGGTGATTAGTCAAGTCAATTTCACTGATCAAGGGATGTACCGATGTGTAGCGTCCAACCCCGCTGGGAGTGCTACGGCAGCAGCTAGTCTTACTGTGAAAGGTAAGAGTAAATATCGTATATTTTTCCCCGAATCTGCCGGATATGATAATAAGGTTGTATCGTGCTCAGCCGTTTTCACTTGTTCGGTTGTTTACTTTATTGTTTTTTGTTTTTCTCTTTTTGGTGAATTGTATTGTCACTTTGTATTGTGCGCTTCGGCCGGGCCTGGTGATGAAGGCTCTACGCATTTAATTAATAGGTGGCCTGGCCCTTCAGGCTTTTTTTCGTCCTTTTGAAGTCATAATGAAGTCCTTTGGAACAAAAAAAATAATTCTCCTTTAGCGGGAGAAACAAGTTTTTTAAACTAAATAGGACATTGTAAAGTATTGTCATTTCAGCATTTGTAATTTTCCATGTCTTTCTTTTAGACTTTGACGAATGCAAAGCCCGCAGTCATGACTGTCAGCAATCTTGTGTTAATACTCAAGGTAGCTTTAGATGCGAATGTCATTCCGGATTTATGTTGCAAAGGGACAGAAAAAGCTGTGAAGGTATTGTAACGTTATACCACAAAGTATAACAAAAGGGATATAAAAAATAACTAAAGCCCAAAATATTCCGTGTACATAGTGTGACTTTAAGATTAAGAGGTCGATTTTTTTGAGCTTTTACTCATTCGATATATAGCAAACTAAATATGGTATTAAGATAAATATAGACTTGGTTAATGAGATAGTTGATATTTCTTATGTCAATGAAGTCACAAAAATATATATTTCCCATTTCTCCACCCATCCTTTAAAAGGCTGACATGTTTATCATTCTTACTCTCCTTCAAATAATCATTTTTCATTTTTATTTAAAATAGTTCAAGCGATTGTTCTACTTTGTTTAACGATCATTCATGCGTCTTTTTCCAATGCCTTCTTTTTCCTTCAGATGTTGACGAGTGCAATGTTGGAAGCCATTTTTGTGATGACGTTTGTCAGAATACCCAGGGTAGTTTCACCTGTCACTGCAGGTCAGGATACAGACTGATGGCGGACCTCAGAACTTGCTTTGGTATTACAACCGTTTCTGTAATAACCTGATATTTATTCTAGTTATTCTCTGTCTATAAAAAACAAGGTCAAGTTTGGTATAGACCCACTTGGCTCTTCCGGCCTTAGCTTAACTTGGTTTCCATGGCAATTTCTACTTCCCTTAGCTGAGTAATTTTTTTTTTGGGGGGGGGGAAACAATGGGCTCGTTTGGTGATGTTCTAATTTTACATGGATTTTTTTTTCTTTTTTTCTGCAGATATTGATGAATGCACAGAGGCCGGTCATGGCTGTTCTCAGCTGTGTAACAACACTCTTGGTAGTTATAACTGTTTCTGTTTGAAAGGCTACTTGCTGGAAAAGGACAACAAAACATGTGTTGGTAAGTTTAGTTCCAAAAGTAGAAGCCTTTTTTTTTTTACCTTGGGCTCATTTGCGTGACTTTTGTGATTCCTTGATAAGATTTATGAGTTAATTGATGCAAAGGTTTTTGATGAGGGATCAAGTCAATACACAAACTAAACTCCCCAAATAAATTCTCCTCTATCTGCTTGTTTTCAGTCGAATACCAACCATGACAAATAAATTAGTCAAATTAATGGTTCCTTGTGGTTTATTGTAAACTTCAATGTGGTGATTTTGTATCAAATTGGATCAAACTGATGAAAATTGACAGTTTCTGCAAAAAAAATTGTAGGCCTTAAAATGTCTTAGTTGTGGTCTACTTACATGAAACGATATCTCCTTAAATTTGTAAATTAACTTTCACTTAATTTTGTGTCGTAATCTACCAGAAGAATACTTAACATTCTCCTAAAAGAAAAGAAACCTAGTCTGTTCTTGTTGCTTACTTAAAATCATCATATTTTCTTTTAGATAAACACGTTCTGTTGGACACTTCCAAACCAACCACGCTCTCAGCTGGTATGGGCGCGTTCGTGGCAGTCGCAGGCGTGAGCGTGTTCATCGTGATTGGTACAGTGATGTGTATTATACGCTACAGAAGGCGAGCAAGGCTCAGAGGCCTTGAAACGGCGGAGGTGAGCGTAAACTTAATCTTTTCGCTGTTGAAGAAGTTTTCATTTGAGTGGTGGTGATAGTCGAGGATTACATTGGTGTTTCTTCGCTAGGTCTGTAATTAACCTAAACACATTACGCCACACCCTTGACGTATAAGATTTAAAACTGAAACAATCGCAACCTGGTTACTCACGCTTTCTCACGCTCTCTCACGCTTTCTCACGCTTTAGGCCACTAAGTTATACTTAGACTGAGTTCTCGTTTCTTTAAGAGACACGTGCACACTGTTTCTCCGAGTTTGCTTTTGAGAGCTCAGTGGAAAATCCCTCTATATTTCTTCAATTTTCCGGCCTTGTCACTCGAAAAGGCCGTCAGATAAAATATTCTGTTTGAAACCCTACAACCCCTCTAAGTATTCCTTTTTGTCGCCATCTCTTCATGTGCACTTATATCATTCAAAAGTATTTCCGAAAAAAAGTATTTGATGAATCACCGTGGCAAAATCTTGTCTTTCTAAGGTCTTTTTCACTATTTACTCTGGTTGTTGTCGTTGTTGTTGTTGTTGTTGTTGTTGACTTCGTCGTCGTTATTGTCGTTGTTGTTTCTTTGTTGCCAATTGGTTACTTATATAGTTCGTTCGTGTTTGATCACCTTACTGAATTAATTTCTGCTTCTGTTTAGGGAGAAAAGAAGTCTTTGTTTTCTTGGTTGGAATAAAAGGGAACTTCTCATACATCAAAGAACGCAACAAATACCTGTTTCCTCTTGAAAAAACGGAGTGAAATTCAAGAGTAGTGGATGTGTTTAATCCCAAAAGATGCTCTATTTTTTATAGAATCAGAACTTTTATATTTATTTTTATAGCGAGAGTCAAGTTTTTTTTTTAATAAACTGTATAAAAACAGAGATGAGCATTTGTTGCGGTACCAAATTAAATACTTGTTTTATTGTATATCATAAACTCATGAAGCTCTCAAATGTTGTAAAGAACACTATATTTGTCATATATTTTTGCTCCTGTATGAAGCTTTTTTGTATCATCGTGTAATTACATTTTTTATACACATTATCAATGCTTGCCTTTTTTTTTTTTAATCTCTTTAGTTTTAAAAAAAAAAGATCACTTTATTAACCTTGGCTCAAACTAGGAGCTGTGAAGTTGCTGGCATTACACCTTTTTAATTCGTTGATAATTTACCGCGCGTAAAATCCCACTCGGCGCTATGCACGTTTACTCCGATGGTTTGAACACGTGGATCCATTATCAACTAAAGAGAAGATTCTTCCAGCCCCGCTCCCCACCCTCCCTCCTACTAAATAGGCATCTCAAAAAAATTAATTTTAAAGTCGAAGGCAGTTTTTCATGTATTTCTCCCCACTCACGGGTTTGACATTGAATCTTTCATTGACTTATTTACTCTTTACCAGCAATTTTTTTTAAAGTTCCTTGATATTTTTTTGTTGAAAAGAAGCAAAATAGAGACCCAATAATGTAAAGATTTTTCCGAATTTTGAATGTTGCCTTCGATCCATAAAACTCACGTTTCTGAATATTTCTCATTTTTATCCACTATAAATGTCCTTTTAAAGTGTACAACTCGATGGGGAGAGACGAATTTGCCCTCTTTGACCAATGAAACTTAACTGATTAGCAAACGGGATTACAAATCACAAAATACTATTGGGAACAAAGGATATGTTTTGGCTCAATTATGTATTAGATTAACATCGTTTGTGATTGGCTGGTCTAATCAGGAATTATAATAAAGTTCGGATATCACGCGCGCTGTCATTGGTTGAAAGAGCGTGCTCTATGAGAGTATAGAGCATAGAGCTGAGCTAAAGCTGTCACGCCATCTGCCAAATTGTACTATGTTCGACCTTTTCCGGGACTTCTTTTTAGCTTTTTTTCGATTGAAAGTGAAATTTCGGAACAAGCGAGCCGGCAAGTAGCAACAGAAGAACCAAACAAAGGTTTGTAAACATACCAGGCGCCGTAATTTACGTTATTAAAACGTGCGCAGATACGAAAATCCTCAAAGGAAAAACAAAATAGACAATAGATCTACACGCTCAGTTAGATTGCAAGCTTACGTACGGAAATAAAAATCAAACACAGCTAACACTCGTATAGTATACAAAGTTCAGTGTTCAAAAACAAAACAGAGCAAAACAGAAATGACCAAAATATAACCAAACTTGCATAACTTTTAAAATTCATACTAATCATAACGGTGTCAGAGCGAATATGATCACGCTGAGGTCCATCGCGGCTCGCTTATCATGGCGATCTCCGGTCGTCGCAGTAAAGCAAGCCTCAGAAACTACATCGGCCGCCCTTCGAGTGAAAAAATAAGAGCTTGCTCTGATATCCTTTCCGATGCGTTGAGTGGAAAGTCACATCAATCACTGCAGCCGAGTTTTGCGGCGGTGTCATCCCGAGCGATCTCCATGTTCCGGTGAATTCGGCTGTCGCTCATTCAAAAAACAGTCGCCTTGAACAGTTTGTTTTCTACCTTGTCATGTGAAAAAATTCGCGTGTTTTTATGAGCCATAATTTGCCTGAAGTTCACTGAACATTTCACTTTAAGGTTCTGTAGAAGAGACTTAAAAACTTCAGGCAAAATGTTAACTTCGACCTGCCGAGCTATCTTAGTTTGTAAACTATTGCAGAATGTGAACTTTGATGGTTTTTGAACTTTGATGGTTTGGTATTTTTGACACCTGTAGACTTGTACAGCCAATCAGATTATTTGGACCATTCTAACAAGGATTCTGATTGGCTTATTGTAGCGTACTTTATGAGAGTATAGAGCATGCTGACGACACTTTTGTTCGCTTCGGAAATAAAGTTTGTTTTGAAAATTGAAGGAATTTATGGATTATTTATTATAAAACAAATAGAGAAGCCCTGAATGTGCTCTGTTCTGTTGTTAAGCACTTAGGGAGCGACTAGAACACTCAACTACGACTACGTCTCGTGTTTCTCCCTACACTTCTTTCGTGCTCTAGCCGCTTCCTGCGTACTTTACAACAGAACAGAGCACAGACAAGGCTTCTCTATTTGTTAAATAAAACTACAAGTGTGCAGTAAAATTCTATCGACGTAAGCAAGCTAAAGAAATAAAATCATTTCAAATAGTGTTAACTCAAGTTAGTTATAAGCTGAAGAGGAGTCCAATGCCGACATTTACCGCAGAAATTATCATCTCCTTTAGTGACTTAAACCACAATGAAAGCGTGATTCCAAAGTATTCGAAGATGCAGGAATGTACAAGATTTGAAATGTTTCGGAAAAAAAAAAAAAAAAAAAAAAAAAAAAGAAAAAAAGAAAGAAAGAAAAATGGAAAAGCACCAAGGCTTGGGTTTGAGTCATCTTCTACCCGCTCAGGGCTTACAAATCTGTGGCGTCAGCTCCATAAACTATGAGCGGTCTCTTCTTTTCCTCACGCGCAGGGCTTCGCGTGGCGCGCTAACGTCTGCTCTTTTTCATTGTCTTTCTTTTTGTTTTTGTTAGTTTACACTTGCGACGGACTTCGCCGAAAGGGAAGGGACTCCTTGTAGTCTATCAGCGCCAAAAATGTTTTCTCAAATACGAGAATCATGCGCTGAGCCGGGCTCGTGTCTGGAGACACGAAAAAGGGAGCAATAATACCATTCCCTCCCCTCCCAGTTACTCTCAATCGCTTGTTCTGATCCCTTTCATCATGCTGGAGGGTCTCAAAGGGGTTTTACGGTCAATGGTTTTTGGCCAATTTACCGTTAGCTCTTTTTTGTACAACTAACGGTAAAATTTGCCTGACGGCTAATTTTTTCGGCTGTTTTGAGGCTAACGGTCAACCCTTTGAGATCGATCCTCATGCAGCTTTGACTTAGACTCGCGTATTACAATATTCTACACAGCGTTAGCTCTAATACGAGTCGCATTAGCTTAAAAATAAAAAAAAAATTATGAACAAATCATTATGCTTATTTTTTTTCCTTAAGCTAACAGAATTCTTAATAAAACGGCACAGAGGTAAACTGAAATTGGAAATCTTCAGAGTTTTTCTGTATAGTACGTATTTGTTACAACTAGCTTTCCTAGTTTCCAGATTGAGCAATTGCCAGTTAATGTTGTGAGCTGGTATTTTGTAAAAAAACAAACAAAAAGGAAATTAAAAAAAAAACATACGCTTTAATATATTTGTGTAACAAGAAAAAAAAAGAAAAATATTACCAGGTAACTAAAGCTAAATAGCATATGGCGAAATACCGGGTATATATCATAGATTATAGTTATATCGTAAATATTGCCCTGTCTTATAGTGTTTCTTTACACACCAGTCTTCTAATTATCCAGTACCTGCCGCCATGTGACTGAAAAGAGCTGTTACCAGCAGTAACATGGATTTTCGTAAAAATTAAAAAAAAACAAAGCTATTAATAAAACGGAACAAAGATACTGGCAGGAGTTAAGTATTCCACCGACTCTGTGTTGTATTAAAAGTGAGGTTATGATCGTGACCGACAAAGCCCGCCATCTGATTGGCTCGCTGGATTAAAATTGACAGGTTGCATACTTTACCTGTTAGGTCATCAGTCAACATTTGCTCTGGCTGCCAGTGGCTGTTTTTGCCAAAACAATTCTTCGCTATTTGGTCTTTCTTGGTCCGTATGCGATCAGATTTCAAAGAGTTTTTACTCCGCGTTTTTTATATAATTCGGTAGTCATGTTAAATCTTTTCTGTGGTCGAAAAACTAGAAAAGATATATTGTTAATAATCTCGGCCATCTTGGTAACTCTTGCAACAGGTAAGCAAAAATTTATCTTTTGATTGAGTCGCTTCTTAGGAATCATGAATTCATCGTTTACAAAATAAACGAAGTGTGTCTTAGAAGACGCTATCGAGCACTTTATCATGGCTCAAATAATAATAGGTCTTTTTGCGAACAATGTTAAAAATCCACTGAAAGGCTTCACAATACACGGTTTTTAATCTTACCACCAGTTTCACCAGATTGTCACTTGCTCAGCGAAGCTTGACTGTAAGAACAGTATTGTGTGAAAGTTAACTGCGAGATCATGACTCCGTCGGCTCGTTTTAGTAAAAAAATTAACCAGATAAAAGTTTGCAAAGCGAGTCTTTGTGGCTTCAGAAGTTTTCATTTTACCAAAGAGAATGAAATCTCTGTCATTATGTTATAATCGCATTTTTCACGGCATATTGAAAGTTTGAAACGATGTTTTTATCGTTGTAGTGCGCTTTTAGATAAATCAATTGAGCAGGAGAATTCCTTAGACACATAAAAATAAATGGTAGTCATGTATACAAATGGGACCAGTTTTCAAAATGCGGATAACACTATCCGACGGATAGATCGCTATCCTGAGAATATAGTACGTGTTGACAAAAGATAACGCGCTATTCAATGGATAGAGATTTATCCACTGGGTAGCGTTATCCACCTTTGAACAATAGGGAACGGGTTGGAGAGAAGCAGTGTGAGGCTGAAGTGTCTTACCTGAGAAGAGAAAATAGTGATCCGGCAACAACCCAAAAATCCTCGATCCATGTGCTCGAGGAAAGCCATTAGGCTTCAGTATCCTTACTCCCTCCTTTCCTCACAACTTTTGACAAGACTCCCTTCTGTAATTACCAAAAACATGTTCAAACATTTTTAGCCGCATTAGGACACACGATACTTGAAGAATACAACTGTGGACAAGAAGACATTGAGTACAATGTTACTCTTAGAGGCGGTCAGTTTGCCGGGATTTTCAAGGACCGTGGACCGGTAAAGAATATGCAGGAATGTATGCATTTGTGCTGCAATACAAAGAAATGTGACGTGGCCATGATGCACGGATCAAAATGTTTAAATGTACATTGTGTGAATGACACAACTTGTGAGACGATTCCAGCGGATGATGAAGATATTGACATGCAAGTTGCACACATGACTACTAAAGGAACAAGACAACTGAGTAAGTTTTTAGAAAATGCTAATTTTTGAGCATGAAAATAAACTACAGAAAGGTTTTTTTCGCTATATCACGAGCATGGGCTGAAGAAAAAGTTTTTAGTTCTCATGAGGAATCGGACCCAAGGCACTTGGATTCCGAATGTTCTTCCACTGGGCCAATGAAACTCCCTTTAGACAAATGGGTCATAACTTTATTATGAGTAGTTTGAAATCGTTTTGAATTTCTTGGTGCGAACTAGTGAAGGCGGTCGCGAACCTATTTCTAATGGGGCGAACTCGTCATGGTGCGAGGGAACAGGTAAGATCGAAGTGGACTTTCTATGGGGCGAAACCTCCATAGACCAAAGAGACTACATTATTGATTTTAGGTCTTAATCTTCTCTTTCAAATAGCAGCGAGTCCTTTTCTCAGTTTTCTTATCTTCTGTAGCCGAAGCACCGGTAAGCGACAATCTTAAGAGTTATGACCCTGAAGCGAAATGTCCGCACAACGAGATCATGTACAACGTAAAGCTAATGGGTGGATTGAAAGCTGGAAAATTCACAGACATTGGAAAAGTTAAGAGTATAAAGACTTGTATCAGGTAAATTAAATTAAAACTAGATACTATTTCGAGTGCAACTTGATTTGGTGTCAATAAGCACGAGAAAAATTTTCAAAGACAAAACAATTGCATGAGACCGTAGAGCGAGGACAATTTGTAGTCTTCGAAAAACTCACTAGTGCTTATTTGCACCAAATTGCACAAGATATCATGTTGTTACTTGTTAAGAGTTTACATGAAAAAACGCATCACGGAAGGGCAAGACGAAAAAAAATTTGATAGCGCGCTATTTGTTATTTGCACTCGTGTTACAACTTTGCACTCGTGTTACATAAAAATTGCACTCGTTTTGAACCACTCGGACGCGTATGCATATTATTAAAGCCATTAGCCTATACTCGAAGTTGAACATCGGTACCGCTCTGAATGAAAATTGCGTTTAAGGAAAAGACTGTAATTATGAATTAATTTTAGTCTTATTTGCTCGAAGATATTGCTGCGAGTCTAAGGTGCAGCCATGCGACCTGGCCTTTATGTTAAGTGACCGCTGTTATTTGGTGAAATGCTACTCAGAGGAGAGATGTCAGGCAATTCCTGCTGCCGCTATAGATCATTCATTCAAGCAGAAAATGGCTTTCGTAGCGCCATGGTTGTATCAAAAAGGCAAGAAAGTTGGTAAGTGAAAGGAGTAAGAACAAGCAGTCACAGCACATTTTTTTTTAAGAAATCTGATAAAATGCAGCTTTTTATGACTTCTTCCTCCTTATCTGGTTTACTCAGTGAAAATTCCATCTGGCCAGTCTCCACATCACTTACAATGCGTTCAAAGCAGACGCTACACAAAGTCCCGACTCCTTGATGGCCCAAACGCGGGGCTCTTCACTGACGTGGGGCGCGTTGCAAACCCCCAAATATGCACCCGCTTGTGCTGCGAGGATCCTTCCTGTGACTTGGCCTATATGTTTGGTCGTACATGTTTCCTTGTAAAGTGCTACAGCGAGAGAAGCTGTCGCACGATTCCCGACGAAGACGCTTGGCGCAATGATACTAATTTGGACAGATCCACGCAATACATCGTTACACGAAAGTTTGGTGTAAAATTAAGAGACGGTAAGGGCTTATAAACAACTTAAGATTGCATATTACCATGAGGAAAGGAAGTGGGCTGAAATCATTTGTTAAAAACGTCGGTTATCACCAAAATCTCCCGCTTTAAACGTGTAGCTTCGCAAAACAGTTCCTGGCTAAAAAACCAAACTGGTATCTCTACGGCAAGTATTCTTACTCTATCGAAGTTGTCTCAGCTCTTCCTTGCTTTCTACCGTTGGCCGGCAGCTGGAACCAAAATACAACATAACCTATGCTACTAATGAAACACTTTGGCGTTATTGGGTGTTAAAACTGTTTCATGTATTCAAGATTTCCAGCTGAAAAAAAAAATGATTAAAGAACATGTAGTTCATGATGTTTGGAAAGAGTGGATTGACTCCTCGGCGTAGTTCAGAACTTTCTATTTCAATCCGCTTCCAAAATTTAAACCGAGCGCAGTCCATGTAAAATTAAATTTTTGATTTATGAGTCAGAATTCAGAATGACGTTGTTTCTGTAAGTCCAATATTTTTAAGATATGTTTGGTTCTGACATCATTGTAAGAGTTCATCGGCCGAAATGAGGTGTGCTGTGTTGCCGTAGTTCAGTGTTGTCTTAAACCAAAGATAACCTGAATGTTTCACAGCAAAAAAAAATATTTTTATTCTTATCCTGTTCTTACTATTAAAGACGGAACTCCCGTTATACGAACCGAAATAAACCAAGAAGAAGAGTGTCGACTGGATGGCGAGATAAGGAACAAGACAATTCTCCAGGCCGGCATGGTATCTGGAAAATTGACGCATCACAAAGGTGTCACAGACATTAACTCGTGCATAAAGCGATGCTGTGAACAGGACCAATGCCATGTGGCTATGATGATGGCAGATAAGTGCTACACGGTCTTTTGTACTAATAAGCAGTACTGCCAGCCTAAACCAGCTCCGGTAGAGACACACCACACCAACCCCACAGTGGCTTATGTCAAGAGAGGAGAAATAAGCTTTGGTAATGTATACATTACAATAAAGCCGTTTTTGTTATCCTTTGAATTAATTGTCGAAACGGTGAGATCAAAGGGCCAATCAGAACAAAAGTTAACATCTCCATTAACCGATAAGTATTCAAGGTGAAGAACGGCAAACTGTTTGAAGCGGGAAGACATGTGTGACCAATCAGAATTGATTTAATTTCATGTCCAATTGGTTAGGGAAGTAGTGTGAGTACACTAGACCAATCACAGAGCAAGGTGAAACGAAACCGAAGCAGTTTTGCATCTCATTCCATTCAAATCTGCTCTTTGGGGTTAAATCAGTTTAAATACAGAAAACCATGCAACTGAGAGTATAACTTGCTACCTGTTATCTTGTCTCTTTTTTCTTTCAAGAGGAAACTAATTACGTTGGCACAAAATAGAGACATACATTTATTTATCAAAATACCTATCTTATCATTGTTTTTACAACAAAAAATCCTGCAGCACCTAAACCAAAGTCGGTGATGCCGCGAATTGAAAGATTCCACCCTAAAGTAGTGCAAGATGTCGAAGAAGAATATCTTGAAGCTGATGACAATAACGTCAAAGGCAGTATCGACGTGGATGCCAGCCAACGCAGCAGTTTGCCGAGCATCCCAAGTAAAGAGGCTGAAGCAGAGGTCTTTGGGAGTGGAGGCATTGAGGAAGTCGAAGAGTATCAAAGTGGTAGTGGGGACAGTGAAAGTAATGATGATAGCGGTGACCAAAGCGGGTCGGGAGAAAATGTAGAGCAGGATGAGGAAAGTGGAGACGAGTCCAGCAGTGAGAGCGGAGCTGAAGACAATGAAGCCGAAGGTAGTGGGAACGAGGATAGCGGAGCTGAAGATAGCGGAGCTGAGGATAGCGGAGCTGAGGATAGTGGAGCGAGCGGAGAGGAAGAAGACAGTGGGGTCAGCGGAGACAGCGGAGACAGCGGAGACAGCGGAGACAGCGGAGACAGCGGAGACAGCGGAGACAGAGGAGACAGTGGAGACAGCGGGGATAGCGGGGATGAAGAAAGCGGCGATGAAGATGAGGATAGAGAAGATGAACTTCAAGGACTAGCCCAACTCAGGAATATTCTGAGCCTCAAAGGCGTTCTTTGATCATAGTTACAATAGTAAAACGGTAGTTTTAATGGAATCAACAATGCTTCGTATAGGAGTTTAGTTTTTTTTTTTTACGTCAAGAAGTAGTGGCTCAGAATCTGAATACTTAGGGATGCGTGTTTGCTGACGAGGCCTTACTTCAAGGCCTTTTGGCCCAAAGGTTGTTTTCAACTACATTCCTTGAGGGAGTGACTTGCTTTTCAGTTTGTGAGAGAAAAAGAGTTAAGATCTACCTGAACGCTCACATGATCGAAAAATACAGCACTTGACACAAAATAAAGATCCATGGAATATCACTGTGTTTGCTCCGTTCACCGCAAATTTTACTAACTAAAGTAAATTTTTCTCTTCGTTTTTTTTTAGTCTCTGTTACAACGTGTTACTAGCCTAACTACCTTTTAAAGACTTGATCTAAACTGGGTAAATATGTACAAATTTGGAATTTCACAAATTAAAACCCACTGTACATAATTGGTCACTTAAGATGTCTATAAAATTAAAGCACGATAATTAGATTAAATTACAAAAAAAGCATAGTTTTATAATTGAAGATAAGAATGTTAATAAACATGAATGGATTTTTAGATATTTTAATTTGTTTCTTACTCTTCTCTACACTTGGACACTTATTTAGAAGTTGATACAGGGGTAATGTCCTCTTGCGAAACGAAACCTTTTTTTTTTCTGTCGAATCATAATTTTGAAACAGGAATCTTGTTGTGTGCAATGAGAAAATTAGGAGGAGGCGACATTGAGAGCGAGTTAAAGGCTCCAAGGTTTATATCAACGATGCTTCCGCTCAGGTTGTCAAAACAGCTTTCCCTACAATTGACATCACACTATGTGACGAGCAATTGCTTCTGTTTCCAGATCTACAAGTAATAACGTGGAACTTTATGATTTTTTTACCGTATAATCTTATGCCCTTAATTTACTTATTCCCACAAATTTCTCCAAAAAATTAGTTTCAAAATGATCCCCTAAACGAGCACGAACACTCTTGACAGAACGTGTCGGCTGTCATTGGTCAATTTTAGAGCAATTGAGTAACTGAAGCCTGCCTTTTGGCTGGTTCGATTCTGTCAATTATGATATATAACCAAGGGCACATTTGTCTTAACTCAACTTAACTCCATTCAGGTAATGTATGACATTCATTCGCTGCTCTCAGAAAAATTTGTCTGAGGCAACCAACCGTGGTAGAAATCTACCACACGAGTCACTTGGCTAGTCAAGCGATATAGGTGCCCATTCGGTTCGATGAATTTAAAGGGAAATTCATTTATATTACTTCATGGTTCAGAAATGAGCGTTACGGTCCTTAACTTTCGCTAAATGTCTTCTTGTTAAATCACAAGCAGTGGTTTTCTCTTGACAGTAATACGAATAGAGAATCTATCTTCACTGAACCTATTTGAAATGTTCAAGAATGAAGATCACCCTTCGAATTGAAGAAGAAGTTGTACCTAATATCTGCAAAGGAGAAACACAGTAATATAATTGACGGAGAGCAATGGCTCTACAGTTATTGTTTCCGGTTGATTTGTTGTTTTGAATTTGCAAGTACTGTTTGCACAGTTTAAAAAAATATACAACACGTTCTAAGATGGTGGAAATAAAGACAGTTTCTCAACTTACGTCGATCAACATACAAAAAAATGCACTGACTTTTTTACCACTTGAAACTCGTGATAATCTATATTATTTAACGAGGAAAACGTTGCATGCGATTATAAAACTAAGGAACGAATTATAAAACTAAGTGACGAGGGGAACGTACGTTTTTTGATCCTTTGAAATAAATATCTGTGAAATAAAACCTACGACAATATTAGGCCATTAACAAAACGCTTCGCCTATCGGTTGGGGCGCACCAAGCTTCAAACACCAGGTTGAACGCAGCTACGTCTCGGTAGTTCAAGTAATTTGCGAAGAAAACCAAAATAAGACCAAATGATAATAGTAATAAAAAAAAAACAAAACACGAAAACATAACTTGAGGCAAAGTTGACTTAGCCTAATTAAAGTAGGGTGACTCTGGATGCCGTTTTTTTTTTTCTCCTGTCTGTCTGTCACGCAAGATAACCTTTATAATACGCTTTCTTACTGTAACACAAAATCCAATTGGAGATATAAACCTAGCGTATACTGTGTCTGTTACAACCCTCGTCGGCGGTATGTCGATAAGATTTCCGCGGAGGCTGCATCGGACAAGTTAATAAAAAATGAATCTTTGTTTAACAAATTTAAAGCGAAAAAATTACAAGGTGTATGGACTATCAAGATATGTTTTTATTTCTACTATGTCATACAAATACAGGTATTTTGGGGTACCAGTCACTTCCTCCTAACACTCGTCCATAGAAATTCCTCTTGTATGACGATATTCTTGTACATAAAGAATATCCCGGCGGATTTTACACTTCTAGATCACGTGAGCAAAACACGGAGCATGATTGGACAAAATTTGAGATCTTGATGATGTAATTGTGTTCTATTGTTCGGCGGGATCGAGTTCTTTCCTTGATAACAAAAGAATACAACTCTAATATGGCAAAAACTTAAAAAACAACCCGGTTAAATTAATAGGTATTTTATTTTATGACGCTATTTTTTCTAAGCTATTTTTTTAAAGAGAGAAATTTGAATGATGTTGCCATGTGAATAGGATTCGGGGCTGTGATGCTCGGAAGAAAGATGAACAGTGGCTTACTGTTCATTTGGTTGTGTGCTCTCTGCGGAGGTAAGTTAACTTGTAGCAGATCGCTTTGCTAAGTTTTCCAGTTGTGTGTGCGTGAAGTGCTGTTCCACTAACATTTATTCGTGTATGAATCTAGTAAAGAGCTCGTCAAACTACCTACAAAACTGTAAGAACACCAAAATCGAGGAGAATGTCACGCTAAAAGGAGGCATAGGAGCAGGAACTTTTCGAAAGCTTGGTAAAGTTACCAGCATGGAGTCTTGTATTGAACTGTGTTGCAAAACTGCGACTTGTGATGTTGCCTTCCTCTCGGCTGCTAAGTGCTATGGAGTCGAATGCGTGAGTGATGACGAGTGCAAGGCTACAGCTACTGATACATCTGATATTAAGGTGCTCATAGCACACGTGCGAACAGGCCATAAGAAAGGTTAGTGCTCCGCCAGTTGAAATGGCGGAGGTAAATAAGCTGTTGTGGGAATCTTTGAACGAACTTGGTTATAGTCCTCATTCCGTAAAATACAGTCCGTTATTCTACATTTAGATCGATATGTGCGGCGTTAATGAAAGCAATGGATTGTTTGAAATTGACGTGGCGTTGAATTGGTGCATTTGTGCAAGAAATCTCGCTTTTGAAAGCTTTCTTCTCCAGATAACTTTATTCAATCTCAAATTTTTCACGGGGTCTGCAGCGTAATGGTGTATTTGAGGACTGATTTTGCGCTTGGGATAAATTTCAGTGAAGCGAGCGATGATTTTTCCGGCGATTACACTCATTAATCTTTGATCGGCTTCAGAATTGAAAGCCTGAAAGGTAGCTAGCCACCCGGAAAGAAAGAATGGTAAAAACAGGTTGTAAGCAAAAGGGACAGCGGGAATTTCTGCGTACCGTTTCTTCTTATAAAACAAATTCTGCTATGTCAATTTCTGTCTGGTTTGTTGTCTATTGTAGAGGGCAAGATTTACCTCAAAATAAGTGGGTAAATTAAAATCTCTTGAATAGCAATTGGCGATAGCATAAAGAAAACAGTTATTATGGAAAGTTCCTCCAGTAGATTAGAATAGGAAAATATAACCAATACATATATAATAGTAAAATAAGGTATGAATTTGCTCCTGCGAATGAAAAATTGCTGAACGCTTTCATGAAACTGTCAGTGACTTAAGAATAATGTTTTTTTCTTAAATCATTTGATATATGTCAATCAGTTAATCCTTCATGCACACACGGCTGAAAGACTGAGATTAAAAATATTATGTCGTAAATTAAAGTAACTTTCACAGCCTCATATTTAATTACGTAGCTCTGTCATTTTAACTCCAGCCCAAGCTCTTACCGACTGATAAATTAGACTTCATGGCGATTTCAAGTCGAGAGCAAGGGAAAAACAGTCTTAAAAGTCCAATGTAACTGATCTTATTAATGTGTCCATGAGTATTCATTTGTCACAGAGCAGCGGATGTGAATCAAGCTGACAATTATTAAGCCATGAATATATAGTGCAACCACCGAGAAACTATTTCACAGGAAGAACCAGCTTAAACCAACGGAGTTCATTTTTGCTATAACTTGAATATTGTGGTTTCATTCGTTTTCAAAATAATTTGAACTTCTCAATTCAGTTCTTGTCCTCAAAATTTTCCGCTTATTCGATGTTTATGCAATATTCCTCTATATTCAGTCGATTTTTTTTCTGGGGGTCTCAATGGGGTGATGGCTTTGACGGCTAACGTTTAAAATTTTGGCCAATTTACGCCTAACGGTTAATTTTTCCTTTGCAGATAAAAGAAAAAAAATTACCGTTAACTTTTTTTATTACTCACTGTTGTAATTTTGACAATCTTTCATTTTTTTGAGGCTGTATTACAGCTGACCGAGTTAATCCCATTGAGAGCATTTTTACGATGCTATTTTATTGCAACTTTAAGCATTGATCATTATGATGAACAAATACCAATTACATTTACGCTAACTTTTTAAAAACTCATTGGCTCTATTCATAAATTTTCGAAAAAAAAAATTATGATAATTTCATGAATAATATCCAGACAGAATTTCTCTTTTATTCGTTTCAGATAACACATCATTAGCTTTTATTACTCCTAACTTCACATCGAATGTTAAACCACATCCAAATGGTTTCTTGGGCTCAAATCAGGGAGGCCTATCTGCTAACACGCCAAAAGGTCTCATCGCACAGGGACAAACATCATCGAGCATTGTTAACCCATCTATGGCTGGGCAATGCCAGCCAGGAAAAATTTTCAAAGAAGTGACTTTAAAAGGAGGCATTAATGCCGGTACATATAAAGATGTTGGCTCTGTGAAAAGCATGGAGGAATGTTCTGGTAAATGCTGCGAGTTCGCGGCTTGTGATTTAGCGTTTATGCTTTCAAGTAGATGTTATCTTGTTGGATGTTCAGAAGGCAAAAACTGTCAGATACAAAAAGCAAAGCCTTCTCCGTATCATCCATCTGTGACTTACATTGAAAGATGGAACAAGGAGGGCGTGAAGCATTCAGGTATGTTAAATCTTCGACAACACTGCAAATTGAACGCTATTTGAGTGCAAATAGAACAAGATGGATGGTTATTTTTTGTGGCTCGAAGCTGAATTAAAGAAAGATTTTTTTTTCGCCTCAACACCAGTATAGAACCAAAAAAAGTGTCTCAATGAGGAATCAAAACTCAGAGCGATAAAGAGCTTTGTCAAAGTTAAATGAAATGAATAGCATTTTGATCTGCGAACGACACAGAGTTGAGAAAATAATCCTTGGAGAGCTGCAGGCGGAGAAATTCACAAAAAAGCGCAAAAAACATAATTAATGCTTTATAAAACTCGACAGGATTCGAACTTGTTTCTGTATGGTGAGTTATTGGGTTGTTGGTACTTAGTAGCTATTGAATTCCCTATAGCTCAGTGGAAAAGCATCAGAACGAGGACTTTAAAAGTTTGGGACCCGATTTGTTATGGTGACTCTGATTTTCCTTAGTCCTACGTTCGTGATAAGACGAAGAGTGTCTTTCGTTTTGCTTGTTTGGTCCCGTAACATGCACTTTTACACTGAAATCCCTCGTCTTCAGTCTGGCAACGTTACCAAGCCCCCTCTCTCAGGGGACACTACTAACTCCTCAATTCATTTCGCAGATACCTGGATTGAGGGTAGATAGAGCTTCTAAGGTTGTGCATCATATATAAAAGAGAATAACAAAATGATCTCAATCATTCTTTTCAATTTGTAGACTCGTTAGCTTTGGTAATATATATAATTAGGCGATTAGGGCAACTTGCCACTTTTATACTCAATTTGTTCGTTTTGTTTTTTTCCTTTTGCGTTTTTGCTAGAGATAGCCATTTCGGCTTTTTGAAATACCCGTGTTATATTGAACTGCACTGATCGAATATTTTTCTTATGCATAGTTTTTCTTGGCGACTCAGCCGAAACCAAATTCGCATGTCCCGCGGTGAAGCCGCTGACCAAGGTGACATTAAAAGGAGGACTCAAAGCTGGAGATTTCACGGACACAGGCAAGGTTGGAAGCATAAAGGAATGTTACGAGACTTGCTGCCAACATCCTACGTGTAATCTGGCCTTTATGTTGGGCCAAAATTGCTTCTCGGTTAAATGTTATAACAAAGACTTGTGCAGTACAATTCCTGCGCAGCCTTCCATCTTCAATCCACAAATTGCGTATGTTTGGAACAGAAATGAGATGAAAAATGGTAAGTTAATATAGTTAGAATTACGTAGAGTAGAGCTTTAAAAAACTTACCTTCTTAGTGATTACCTATGAGTAACCGCTTTAATATTCCTTCAAATCTTGTCGGTGGAATTGAGGTAGTGCGATCGCAAAAGATTCGGTTTACCCTTGTTGACAAGAGCGTGAGGACTAATATATATACATATAGAGGAACAACACCAAGAGCGCCATTTTGAAAAGAAAACCATAGCGTTTTCAATAGAGAAGATATTATTTTTTACGTAGCAATAAAACTGCATTTACTTGCATATAAATAAAATTATGATATACCTTAAAAACAGGTGAAAAACATCTAATACTGCATTTATTCTGAGCTTGCTTTTTTCTCTATTTAATTTCCAGACTCACCTAAAAACAAGATATTAAAACCTCAGCTGGTTTGCCCAGCTGGAAAAGTTTTAGACAGCGTAACTCTTGTCGGTGGAATAAAATCTGGGTACTTCCGCGATCAAGGAAAAGTTAAAGATATGGACAAATGTCGACGAATCTGTTGTGAGATGCCACACTGTCATTTGGCCTTCATGCTGTCTTCAAATTGCTTTTCGGTAGCATGCAAAAGCGCTGATGCGTGTAAGACTCAGGGAGCTAATCCATCGAGATACAACCCTAAAATATCATATGTAAGGGATTTTAAGACAAATGCACTGCTAGGTAAGATTATTCACATGCTTATCATTTGTAAACAGGTGAAAACGATTTTTGTCTGTAAGTATAAAACAAGGCTTTAAGTCACCAACACATTAAAGAGCAAGGGACTTCAGCGTTGACAAGTCGTGGATAGTTCGCCTAGAACTAAAATCTCAGTGTGGAGAATTGTTGTTAAAGAGCACCATTATTCGGAAACTTCTTGAAGATTCTTTTCATCTTAGGAACTGATCCCATTGTTTTTTATTTCCTGAAAAGAGGAATGTTTAAAGCAACTGAGCTTTTGTTGCTGAAGCAAACGGGCTTCAGAATGAAATAAAACTTAAATTCTCATATGAAAAAAGGGAAAGAGGATGACTTCAAACAACCCTAAAACTCGAAAAAAATCCTAATTTGCTTTTCAAAACTGCTTTGAAACAAACCCCCTCTCCAATTTTCATTCACCCATTTGTGCAGTGGCTGAGGCAGGCAAAAGAATTGAGATAAGATTTTCAGGAAGACGAAAGGCTCAACTAGATCCAATCTGGCCGGTTATTTGAAAAACACGGTTTGTAATTCAGGGTTTGGGCTGAAGTTGTTCATTATGCTTTCAAAACACTTATTATTCTTGTTCTTTGTCCAGTTTCTTGGCAAAGTCACAAACACATTTTTATGTAAAGTATATTAGTCACACCAATAGTTTACTTGATTTTATTTTATTAAGCACTAATATCAGCCGTCTACAAATTTTCAGGAGTCCCAAAAGTAACACAAACAGAAACAAAAGAAACCATCCCAAGTTTGACGCAAACCCAGTTGGTACAGCCTACCACGCCAGGACAGCCACCCCAGATCCCTGGACTGAGAGGTCCAGCAGCAGACGCGACACAAATGGCTCAGTTTTCGCAGACACAAATGCAAGGACAGAACCCTCTGATCAGCCTACAGCAGCCGCCATCACCATTGGCGCCACCTCCACTTCCTCCGTCTCCATTTGGGTCCAACCCACCCGTCGAACAGAATCCTATGATGCCACAACCAGGGATTTCACCTGGCAACAATGCAGGTATGCAGGAAATTTGCAATCCTTGCCAACTTTTCTTCTGAAGACTTCATGGACCTGCACAAAAAATTACTTTGGGGGAGGATATGCTTTCATTTTTCTAAAGGAATGATTATCAGTCGTGTTACTCTTTAACATCCATGTGATGAGGACGGAGCGTAAAAGAGATAGGAAAAAATAGCTTATAACTTCTCTGAGGTGAAAAATAAAATGTATCAATTTGGGGGGCAAATCGGTCATTCAGTGTAAAATTGGCTGGATTAAACAAGGCACATTTTTGTGTCATAAAAAACCTTGAGGGAACCGATCGGATTGCGTGTGTTGAGGAGTTTAAAGCCAAAGTTATCTCATTTAAAAACAGATAAGATCTTGAAGAGGAGCTTATAAATGTTCTAAGGAGAATTTATCGCCTTTCTTAAGCAGGTATGCAGCTTCCAGTCCCCCTCACAACACCGGCAGAGAAGATAGCACCATTGGTACCACAAACTCCCGCAGAAATTCAACCAATCACAAATCAGCAGGAGACCAAGAAAACCGACATTGCGGCTGCGCAGACAGATCAAAGCCTCAAGAGTCAGATCAAGTCAGCTGCAGCTGGCCAAGCTATGAAAATGAACATCGTAAACGGAAAAATCGAATTGACTCCCGTTGGAGCATCGAATGTATCTGAAGACGCCTCTGGCAAAACTTCGGATACATCCCATTCTTCCGAGTTGAAAGACAACGAAAAAAGCGACTCGGGAAAAAAAGCCTGTGAGAAGGTGAAGGTGCATAAAAATGTAACTTTGAAGGGTGGAAAGAAAGCTGGAAAGTTTAACAATCATGGTGACGTGCAAGGAATGGATGAATGCCAGGATATATGCTGCAGGGATGAAAAGTGCAACGTTGCATTTATGCTCGGCAAGACATGTTACTCCGTAACATGTAAAAGTAAAGAACTATGTGAACACTCAAAAGCTCCCCCAACGGATTACAATCCTCAGCTTTCTTATGTGAGACCAATGAAAAATTCGGATAAAAAAGGTAGGTTGATTTTCTCAGCTTTCGACTTCACGAGTCGTTGGGCTAGATCAACTTCTGGTATGTTAATCAGTCCGTCAGAGTATCTCCCTTCGTAGCAATTTGGCAAAAATCTGTCTTAACTCACTAAATCTATTATTTCGAATTTCCTTCTACTAGAATCCAGTAAAGCACCCGCTATCCCGCTAGAGCCCAAAGACCTCAAATGCAAACATAGCAACATTACAAATGACAAAGATCTCCCAGGTGGAATTCACAAAAACAACTTCACAATTGTCAAAGACGTGGACACTATGGGCAAATGTATGGAAAAATGTTGCGACAGTAAGAAGTGCGATATAGCTTATATGGTGGAGAACAAATGCTATTCTGTGTCATGTTCCAGCAAGGATTTCTGTATTCCAGTCTCGGTAAAGGCCTCTAAGAAGACACCTCTGATCTCTGCGATGTTGATAAAAGCGGAGCCTAAAGAAGAAATAGGTAAAAAAGTAGAAACATAAAACTCAAATTTATCTGCCGAAAAAAAGTGCGAAAATATAATACAGATGGATTAATTACCCAGAAAAATTTTCTATGGTTTCATTAATGGTTTCCTCCGGTTTTCCTCTCCAAGAGGATTTTACTTTTCCAATGGGAGTCAGTGGGATTGTCCTCGGGAATGATTTAATAAGACACTAATTTCTATCTAGAACTAAAGAATATAAAACGGTTATCAAATGTGCCATGAAACCCACTCAATAACCTTTTTATATAGCTTAACGAAATCCAATATTTCAGAAAAAAGTTGGCTGGTTAACGGAGCGGGTAAGATGCCCATATCTCGCCCACAGTGGATTGCTTGATTTGTTACCGTAAAGGTTGTTCTTGTCACTTTTGTTTACTTTGTTACATGGAACGAGGAAAGGCAATTAACAACTAATGTACCTACTTCCTCAGATTTATCCGCGGTTGCTTCTTCACCAGAAGATTCTGCAACTACAGAGCTGGCCTCTAATTCTGCCACGTGCATGTTGGACAGCAGAATATCCAATGATATCAAACTTCGGCCGGGAACTAAGGCTAGTAACTTCACAGCTCTAGGTAGGGCAGATGATATCCACCGGTGCATCGGACGATGCTGCGCTCGCCCCTCGTGTGATATCGCTTATTTATTAAATGGGAAGTGTTTCGCGGTTCAATGTCTTGACGGTGTCTTATGCCAGACAAGTGCTGAGCCCGTATCAGAAGGGGCAAACGTCAAGTTGGCTTATATGAACAGAGGATCGTCCGGTCAAAAGGAAAAAGGTTAGTTCATCTCGTCTGTTTTGCACTTTCTCGTAAGCCCTAAGTTGTCAGTCCTAAATGAATGTACAAATTCCTGATACCCGATAACAATTGCCTCACCCATAATCAAGATTTCTTTAATTTCGCACCATCTTCAATTTGTCAAAAAATTCCGCTCCCAGTTCAATTTGCATTGTAATTGAATTTGTACCTTACAAGTCAATTTCACAGGAAATGAATACGAAAATAATTATACTAGCTTTCCTTTACTGCTGAAAAAAAATTCAAGACCTTCAGTTTAGGAAAAAAAATCGTATATTTCGATAATTTTAAAGTATTCTCTTGCAGACTGGATGATCGTGTACATTATAGCTGCTTCCTTAGCTTTCGTGGCCGGAATCGGCGGAGTAATATGGGCTGTGTGCATTTGCACGAAAAGGTGAGATAATGAATAGCTCCTTTGCTATTCAGGCCTGAAAAAACGTCAGTTCTCAGATCTTAAAGCTTGGCAGTAACTTCACATTAAGAAATAGACTTTCAGTTCTCCTAAAAAAAAACATATTACACCTGGTGGTGAAGCACTCATACTATATTTAGAGAATAAGGTCTCGAATAAGTTTTTTTTAAGTTTTCGCTATGTGCCTACTTGCAATTTAGTAGCTGAGAGGATAAGATTATATCATGCTTAACTCTGCAGACAAAAGCTTCGTAAACAAAGGAGAATGCTGGACGATGACGAAGATGATGAAATGCTTCCCAAACGTAAGTTTTGTCGTTAAGAAAAAAAATGGCGGAGGGGATGGTTGGGTGATGAGAAAATCTACCTGATTCCCCATCAGACTCTGTAATATTCTTATGCCTACCCCCCCTCCCCCCCCCTTCATTGGCAGTTAATTGGCAGTTAATTGGCAGTTAATTGGCAGTTAATTGGCAGTCAAACTTCTATAGCTCCTTTCGTTCCCCTTGAAAATCATGTGATCTCCCGAAAATCCTCACCTCCCCAGGCGATAAATGATTAGCGTTCCCCAATGCCATCTTATCTTAACAATTTTGCTCACCAAAATTCTTTTTGCTATTTCTTACTAATTGTTTTGTTTTGTTAGCCACACAGACACGATACAGAACCCCGATGCCAAGATACTAAACAAGGCAGGCTCCTAACTATGACAACGTACCTTGTACCCGTCACCCGATCTTTATGTCCATTTACGCGCCAACCGTCGGTAACATTCAAAAAGGAATATTTTATACTTTGCATCAACTAACGGCCCAGAAGAGACTTCAAAGCGTTTAGCAGGCTTTAGAATCGGTGGTGAATTAAGAAGCTACCGTCGAGAAGACTGGTGGTCACTTCAAATAATGATGGCATTGGTCTAACCTTTAACTTAAATGCCCTTTGGTATGCATGCAACCGCTGGTCATTAAGAGCAGCGACTTGGATCGCAAGTAGAGGAAACTAAACTTACACTCTTTAAATACCGGCTCGGTGATAACGCCACCAACAAAAGAAGTTATGAACAAAAAACGTTGATGACACTTGGCGATCGCTTCCTCGTAAATTTTATTGTTTCGCGTTTTGCATGCCAAAACCTCTGTAAGTTGAAATAATAAAGGGCTGTTTTCTAGGTCAATAGCGCAACTTTACACGATTTTGTTTGTACAGCAAACATTGCGATCAGGACTACGAAGTTCCAGTTAAATTACCTTCTCTTTCCTAGATTGCTTTTTGTTCCAACGTTGAAAAAGCTCGTATTGGTGACAAAAAATGTTATACCGACAAAGCACTCTTACGTGTTCAATGGAAAGGACCTGCGAGGCTATCGATGAATGTTTCCCCAATAATCTAGACCTTTTCAATTAATTTCCATATGGCAGGAAATCAACCAGCATCCAGCTTGCTTTTTAAAGCCACCGAAAGTTGAAATACCCTCTAAGTTTCATGGCTTATTCTTTGGCGAAAGTTTTTGAACCAGTGGAATTATTAAACTCTGTGCACTAAAGTAACATGCAGCCAAAATGCTCAGAACTGGAATAACATTGTACATGTACTGACTGCAAACTTATTTTACGCTGATATTACAATGTAGAATAGTTATTTAATAAATATATTTGAAAATAATCCTCACGCTTTGATTGTTGATGTCAGAGCATGGCTATATACATCTTTCCCCGTTGCCTCTCGAACAAAAAATTGCTTTTAGCGTCCTCCCTGTACGCAACAGTCATAAGGGGCAGTTTTAGACACCACTGCGCGGTTTAACCAGCAAACCCCCCGAATAAACAAGTTGGGGGATCAGTCGTCACCAATGGAGTGAGTCAAGACGCTCGATAACAGCAAAATTTTAATCCTACATACATACATAAATAACTTTACTTCCGTTCCAAATTTTTTAGAGTAGCATAGTGGTGCTAATTTCTCCAAACAAAGAAACTGTCTAAGTGAGTAAATGGGTAAGTCTTATTCATGGAAAACACTAATTCAATTTCATAATTATATTTCAATAAATGAAACCAATCAAATATATTAAATAAGATAAGTAAGGGCTACTTGTTGCTAAACAATAAAATGATCAATAGTCTCAAATACAAATATCTGTTTTAAAATCTTTAAAGTCATTGAGGCTCGAACATATTCGTCTAAATCGTTCCATCTTTTTGCAGCAAAATATATATAAAACACACGGATTATATGACATAACAATACTTAACTTCCTTCGTGTAACTCTATTTTGAATGATATGAAGCAGTTAATATTTTTTGCCGTTGAATACAAGCCATATTTATGTACAATTAATAGGATCCTAAGAAAAATTGTATACAGGTTCTTCCTTTGAGATCAGCTATAGAAAAATGTAAAAAAAATGACTTTCTAAGTTTTTATCCTCTTTTTGTTATTTGCCACAATCCTACGAAACACTGGGGAATTCCTGCCATTTCTTTGTGTGTGCGAGGTGATTTATGCTTAACGATGTTTTTTTACAATGATTTCGATTAAGTATTTTACTTCCTTTCACCTTTTCCTTTTACTCTCTCTCTACTTAGTAGAGATAGACCTCTGCTGTTATTAATAAATAATCGAATTCTTCGTCTTCCGTTGTGAATCCTGAAACAATACTCTCCAGCCGCTGCAACAGGTCATGTTCTCTCTTACGTAATTTACGGAGGGAAGACTCGACGACATCCTCTTGAAATCTTACTTTCTTTTTTTCTCTACGTTTGCTGCAGTCGTCATTGCTTTCACCTTTCAGAGATTTAAACATGTTGCTTATCCTGTCGAACAATGCTTGTCTCCTTGTACTGCATTGCTGTTTATCTATTGTTTCTCTGGATCTTTTCTTCCTCCAAGCTTTGATAGCTTGACTTATTAAATCAAACTTCAGATTAGAATTGTTCGTGGGGTCAAGGCCAATGTTTCCAGATTCTTTGTCCTTCACTTCTGCTGACGTTTTAGAGGTTCTCGACTGTTTCAACTTGTTACTGATTGCATCAAAAAACTCTTTTCTTTCTTTTGAGCTCGAGCAACGGTTCTCATCGATAAGATCATACAGCTCACTTTCGCTCACAAAGTTCTTAGCATCCAAAAGAGCATCGTTGATTATGCCAATAAAGAAGTTCATACAGAGAATAGTGAGAGTGAAGAGAATTAAGAAGGCGAATATTTTGGCGTATATGGTGTCGGCCTGTGCTAATTCATTGATTGGTCTAGCTTTCACTCGACCAAGAGTTAGCTCGAGTTGGAAATAGGCTCCTTTTAGCACCGAAGAGTAGCGCTCAGATACACAGCCAAATACTAAGACACCAAAGTGCAAAAATGCCACAAAGAAAATGGATAAAACGATGCTAAAGGATAACAAAGATCGTGCAGATATCTTCAATGTTGCGGAGAATAGAGCAACATAGTCGTTGAAGCGAATGATTCGCAATAGCTTGGTGGTAACGATGAAAGTAAGAATTCCAAGTACCACATTTTCCACTTCTTGGCAAGTGATAGCTTCTTGGAAACTTAGATTTCCGTAAATGTTTTTATGCAGTTTGCCCATGGTTGAAATGGTTTTACTTTGTCGTATTATGTACATCACCACGGAAATCAGAGAAAAAACAATTTGAAATATCTCGACCCAATTCCAGATAGACTTGAAATATCGAGAACGATGACTGTAAAGTCTGAAAATTTCCCTTCCGAAATACAGAAAAACGAATACAAAGTACAGGAACAAGCAAATCAAATAAAACTGATGCGAGGGTGTGCCCGTAGAATCAAGTGAAAGAACACGAATTTGCACGGAGGCTGCTCTCAGTCCAGATGCATGAACTTCATAGAAGTATGTGGCAACACTTAAAATATTCACCGACGGATTGAATGTGGAAAACTCTGCCAGGACAACTCTGGTTTGCCTGTCAAGCCAACCGTTGTTTTGTAAATTTGTTACTATGCTGAACCCCGTATGGTTATCATAACCGAGGTCTGCTACAAATCCTCCTCCATCATAAAAGGAGAAATGTCCCCACCTGGGTGTAGTGTCGGTTTCCTCGGCATGTTGATATCGCCATGGCTTTGGGCAAAGTTGTAATAACTCGTCATTCCTCGCAGCATTGTCGACAGGCCTCCAGCCTGGTTTGATGTAGGCGATCTTGTCTTCGTTCTTTGTCGAGTATCCTTTGAAACATTCTTGGAACGATGTTTCCATATAGTTTAGGACTTTACATTGCGCTGAAAGTTGGAACAAAAGATCATGATTAGGAAGTTTCTTTTGGTATTCATTTCACTCAGGGATGACACATTTCGTACTTTTAACAAATATGGACATCTTGTTATGGAGAATTATTAGAAGCCTTCAAAGTAGCATTTGCTTTCGGAGGAAAGGAGCGCCGTCATCAAAACCTAAATTTAATCAACGTTCATAATAAAACGCAGCTACCTAAACACTCGTCTAGATAATTGTCAGAATGGTCAGGAGTCGAGAAAATTGTAACCAGCGCATGTTCAATATTTTTTCTTTAAAATTTCAATAAGCTATTGTTTAACTCTACAATTAAGTTTGTGCACCGATTGCTTCTCTATCAGGCAAAATTATATATGTATAACTATAATATGTGAAATGACGTGTGTGGGTAAATAGCCTTTCACTGAAATGCAAAGAGGGATAAAAATGGAAAAAAACTTACTCGCTTTCACTCTGAGTTGCCTTACTCGAGCCATTCCGACGAGAAGAGATTGTTTATTATCAATAAAAATTGTTTTCTCATCCCTTTGACCGTTGTACCATCTGCCGGAAAACACACCTGGGATGAAAACACGCTGTAACCAGCTCCAGTACCTTGTATTGTTTGTCACCTGAATTAGTACAAGATCATTGAGTTAAATAAATAAATAAATAAATAAATAAATATATATATATATACATACATACATATATATATATATATATATACATATATATATATAAATATTATGAGAGGGAAAAAGGGACGCAACTACATTTCCCGACAAGCCTGTTTCGTGAATCGCTTCACTCTTCAGGGGTTTAAACCCCTGAAGAGTGAAGCGATTCACGAAACAGGCTTGTCGGGGATTGTAGTTGCGTCCCTTTTTCCCTCTCATAATATTTATTCTGCTCTGCTTCAACGTATTGAGCACTGTTCCACGCGAAAATCGACTTGCAGACTTCCTATATATATATATATATATATATATATATATATATATATATATATATATATATATATAAATGAATTGTTAATTGAATTGTCATTAGTTAACAAGGGTAATGAACTCGTGTCTTCATACCTTCACAGAAACAAAGCGTTACTGCGCAACAGCTGAACAAAGCACCTAAATTTACCGCCACATTTATTATGCAAATTTTATATTATATCTTCGATGGTTACAAATATTCGTTCCATTAAGATCCCCTGAAGAATGATCTAATCACGAAACAGGCTTGTCGAGAAAAACCTTGGTCTCTGTTTTTTTTTCCTAGCTCAATTCATATCACGCTGTACTTCCATGTATCAAGCACTGTAATACGGAAAAACCGAATATAGACTTCCTATATATATATATATATATAAATTTTTTTGTAAGTATAGCTGTATGGATAGATGAGCAGAAGTTTGAGTCACACAAGCGAGTTACTATTTATGGGCGTGTCTTAGACTATTATTCTCACTTGCTTATTTTCATTGCACCCATCCCCTCAAATATTATGTTTGCCGCTTTCTGGCTCTTCTCCTATAGCAGAATTGAATGCCAATGTCTTCATGGGATTATACATCTATTGCTTGGAATTTCTTTCAAGTCCTAAATTTGGGTCTCGCGCACTAACATATCTCTTGTACCCTGTTCTAAAGGGATATTCCTTCTCAAAATATCCATTACAAACGCAGAAAATACCTTAGTCAGTTCTTGAAGAGGCCGGCAAAGTAAAATTTTACTTCGTATATTTGATTTTGGATCTCCATGGGAACGAAAAGTCATAAGATAAATTAAACACGCGAATTTCAGCAATGGATTTATCATAATGAAATAATGTTTACTCACCTTGCCAAAGTTTGGTAGTCCATCCTGGATTGATTTAGTCATCAAGTACCGATGGTCATTTCTGTTTCCATAGCACACTGCCATAAGCAAGAAAACGAAGACCAAGTATAAACCCAACTCTGTGATATAACGTGCCAGGTTCTGTTTCTTAGCTTGTCGTCTCCTCATCTCTTCCACCTCTGATAATTTCAGTGCCCAAAAATGTTTCTTATAGTACCCAGTTTTAACTTGCTGAGGGCCTTCGCAGGCGTGTACTTTTGATCTCTTCGCCTTTCTCTTTAAAATGGCCGCGAATGTTAAAGCTGTGAAGAACACCTTTACTGGTTCCTTGATTGTTACATCCTGTGCGAATGAAATAAGCATCGAAGACAGCCACTGCTCACTGACACTCTTTTCCCAAATTAGACTGTAGAAAATTGAAAACGCAGCCGAAACAGTACAAGAAAAAAACAACAAACACCAAGCGATACCAGAGATCAGGGTACCTTTAAGACAACAGTCATTGTTCGTCGCAGACTTTTCAGCTCCTTTCTGAAACAGAATCACTATGAAAATGTTCATGGGTGTCACAACAAGCGCGCTTTCAATTCCAGTTACCACTTGTCTCCACGACATTTTCAGCGGTCCGAATTGGATAGGCTGTGCATATTTGCCCTCTAACTTGTAGAACATCGCGTTAGCAAACATAGATGTCAAAAGCACTGAGAGGCAGCAAGAAAGCCGCTGTACTCTTGTAAAGCGGCTTTTTCTCAGCTTGGCTGCTACTGAAATCCAAATATGCCACTCCGCGAGTCCTCTTCGCCAACGTCTTGCAACTTCATTGCCAAAATCCAAATGATTTGAGGTCTGGTCGATTACTCGCTCGATGCGCCCATCTCCGAGCTCAAGAGCAAACCACTGACTGGCTATGAATTTCCACGACTGCTTGGATTGTACGTCCCGAATCAGGATTTCTTCAAGGTACCACGAGGGATTATCTCCAAAATTATCATGTCCAATCTGCACTCCTTGAATCACACCAAGTGATTTGTTAACATAAAGTACAAAAACATTTGAATTACCTCGGGAGAATAACGTATTCACTGCACCAGGCTCTTCTTGGCTAAGCTGAAGAATGCCACTCTTTCCATCAGAACCATAAATCTCCAAAGCAACATGAGCAGTCGTGCCTGAGTTTTTCCAAACCCCTGTTGTAATCACTATATTATATTCATAGGCACTGCTTGAAGGTGATGGAAGTTGGATCGGTGATTCCTTCTAAAAAACATGATAAAGCATGAATTACATGGTTAGCTGATTTATATTCTTAATTCGCTGTTTTGGTTCCAGTCCAAAAAAAAAAATAATCCATGGTCACTTCATTTTTTTAAAACCTTTTTATTTTCTCAACACTCTAACTCCCAGGGTGACCAACATGCAACTTCTCCGAAAAATATCCGTACATTATCCAGGTAACAGGTCATGAGAATACTCAAAATTATCAGGTAGATTTTGTTATCTTGATCTATTAGCAAATTGTCATGACTTATTTACAAACAAATTGTATAGCAACCGGAGGGAGATTTAAGAACAAAATCATGGGAGTGAAATGGTCATGCTGGAGACCATGCTCCGTTAAAACAACAGTCCTAAGCAAAATCTCGCTCGACACTCACATTTTTGGCGTCTTCCTCGTCGAATTTCCTTACGATAACAAGCACAGTCACATAACATAATAAAATCACCGCAATAACCACAATTACTGCGATATTTCCAGTTTCTGATAACTGCTGAAACTCGACTAAGACTTTGTCGAAGTCAATGGGATTCGGTTCCACTAAAAGACTTCCCCCAAATGATGTCAAGTGGCTACAGCTACAGCTTAAAAATCCATCTAATTCCGCTAAAACCTGAAATCATAAATGCAAGATGTTAATGATAAAAATTATCATTTTGGCTGTCACCATAAATCACACTGTATCTTTTTTGTTTTAAGGCGCTTCTATGCCTCAGTTGGCTATCAAATCGATTCGACTGTCGTCTGAAAATGTTCTCTAATCAAAGATTAGCCTGAATCAAATGATAAGCAATGAGTGAAGATTATTACAATACCACAGCACTTTTGCAAACATTACTCGCGAAAGCTCAAATTATCTGAATAGTGTTGAATACGATTCCAAATTAGATAAAAAAGATTGCACTGAAAAGCGTTATTTAATTTTCACTTACTCGACAACCAGATGATATCCACTTGTCACATGCTTCTGACCAGTAAACACAACTACCCAAGGTCACCTTCAGAGTGTAGTTCTGGTCTGTTGTGGAATCATAAACTGGCATCAGAGGGAAATTTTCACTCTGGGGCGGGGCAGGTGGTGGATCTTTGACTTCGACGCAGGAGTGCTTCCTTCGCCTTCCACCAAGACAAGATCTTTTCTCCCTTGTGTGAGATAAGTTAACTGTGGCATTGTAATTTTTAAGCCGAGAAAGTATTTCCCAGGACGCTCAGCCAGAACTTGTATCGGCACACGTGGACTCACGGAGCAGATCGGTTGCCCGTCACTTTTGTCATGTGCGCTTATCATCCAAACACACTTTTTGTCATAAGAGATAGTAGCATTGAGGTCGTAGTTTTGAGTTGTCGGTCGCTGACCAAAACGCATATAGACAAACAGATGAACGGTTGGATCTTGAGGTTTGATATCCAGCATTAACAGGGTGTTTTCATACTTGACGTTTACCTCGTGGAAACGTAGATCATCGTTCTTTGTGAAATACCATGACTTTTCTGAAGCAGAGATTTTCTGAAGTTTTAGAGGCGTAACGATAACAATGTCTTCCGTAAGATTTGATACTTTAATAAGCTCGCTGTCGTTGTTTTTGAAGTGCAGGGTCACAACATCAGAGCCAACTCGCTCCTTTGTGGCGTCCCAAGTGAAAGGGTTGAAAGAAAATGAGAGCATCTAAAAGAAGAATAATTAAGAATGTTTGTTCTGTGGACTGCTATAATTGAGCACGTAAACATGGTACTCCGTCTTACTATTAATCATAAGTTATCATAAGTTGAGATCAAAATAAAACTGAAAATATATTTGAAAAACAACGAAAAATAAATAACATTCATGTGGCCTCTTCGGTCACATGACTCGATTCTTTTTTGCTGCCCATGTGCCAGAGTTGAACACGTCAAAAGCAGAACAAGAAATATGATTGCTGGAGGTAATAAGCAACCTTTAAGGTACATAAAGTGCTATTATGACTTGACTGGTGTCGGTATCTGCAAAAAAAAAAACTTGGATTAAAATTTGCCTGAAGGGCAGGAATACTTACCTGAACATTTACAAAACTTGTTTTGTTCACTCCAGAGAGTAACAATTGGCTTTTAGACGGTAAGATAAACCGGCCTTTTCCTGCTTTTATTTCCAGTCCTGAAAGTCTTTGGAGGCTATATCTTCCGACTGTCATGGATAGTTGTCCTGCCGTGAATGATATCGTTCTTTCATCAGGTACTGTCAAGGCCAACACTGAGTCTGCAACTTTCTCGAGGGTCTTCATTGAAATCTTCACTAGTAGTTTACCCTGTAGAAATTTCATAAATAACCATATAATGTAAGCAAACTATGGATTTTCGCAAGCTTAAAACAAACATACATACAAACAAACCTAAAAGGTCCCAAATATGAATGAAGAAGGGAGTGACGGTTAAGTTTACAACAATCATCAATGGACCATTCGCCAATGAATATAGACTAATGTACATTACAGTACCAGTTGTTGAAAACTTGATTTGAAGTTTTCTGATGCAATCACTGCTGCTGCCTTCAACACGCTATTAAGACATGAAGCCAAGTTTTCTGCTGATTGCTTTGTCAGTGGTATGTCTGCTACGTCTTGTTTCTGGGCAAGAGACCATAGTCGTGACGTCATTGAACTGATAGCAGATAAGGAGAAATTCTGTGGAGTGCAAATGAATTTAAATGAAGCTAAAGATGCTTGCTTTCAGATTTCTTTCCTATGACCGTCCTAGAGATAATTTGTGGCGAATTAGTTAAAGTATGTACAAAACTATAGGTTGGTTCATTTGATAACGCAACAGTTGTTTGTTTTTATGCTTGTTCATTTCCGTTTTGTTCGTCTTTGCTGTTGTTGTTATTGCTGTTTTTCTTGAGCTTTTCTGGTCAAATAGTTTCACGGTATGAAAACTTGACGTAACCACCAACGCTATTCCAGCCCCAAACAATATTACGTAATTAACTTACCAAAAACTGATGCGGCACTTTCTCCAGAACCTGAAGAGCAGAGCCGATAACTGATGATTTTTGAAGCAGGTCGAAGACAGTTTTCGCTTCCAAGGGCGAAATTTTATCAAGGATGTCGTTCATCACCTTAAACAACGATAAAGATATTAGCTTAAAGTTATTTAAACCAGGAAAGAAATAGGCAACCAGACTGTATCCCCCATGTGAGGCTCGTTCCAGAGATATAGTTTTTAGACTCAACGTATCAGGTTTCCCTATGACATTGCCAGTTAAAACCCATCAAATGATTTGCAAGGGCATGATTGATCTAAATGCATCAAATCACCGAAAACGTCTAAGCAGAAAAAAAAGGAATATTTGGTGATTTCTTTTCAAGACGTTGTAAGTATTCCTTTGAAATTTATTCAAAGCATTCTCCTCAGCATTCTTCATTCGTTAGAACGGAAGGTGAAACAAGAGAATAATGGAAAGTCAACGCTTAAAATGCACGAAACGATTCTCGCGCTGCAAAAACATCAGATATTTAACTCATAAGCCTCCATTTTTCTCAAAAGTATGTTGATATATTTAATGTATTATACTTGTCTGTTCTTCGAAAGTTTTTTTTTTTATTGTTATTATTTTCTTCATATAAATGTCTTCTCATTTTTTTGCACGTTTGGCCCTTGGTAAACTCTTTGCTTTTCGGATACTATCCGAATGAACTAGTTTTGTTTCACTTTTTAAGTAACGAATTGGGTTTGAAAAGTACCTTGTATTTCTCCTGCAAATCCATTGAGGTTTCATGTGAAACTGATAGAAGTAAAACGTTTGCTAGTAGCGCCGCTTCTCTCAGGTTTTTGATCTTAATGAATTTCTCACGAAGGTTTGCGATAAAATCGGGTGTTACATTCTGAGATGGCTTGATCTGCAAAAGTCAAAAGCAGTTATCTATAACTATAATTAATCTATTTCTAATAGGGACTAAAAGAAATCAAATATTCTCACATCCTTTCACGCTAGACATTAAACTAATGGTTAGCAACCTACCTGAACTTTCAAAGACACTGGGGAGGCAGAAATTCCAAAATTGTCGGTCACTGTAGCGTTAACTTTGACAGTAAAATTGTCTGTACTATTGCCAGGTGGTATCCAAGAGGTAGTTATGTTGTTCTTAGCGCCACGATATAACACATTGTACAAACCATTCTCTAGCCTGTATTGAAACTGGTAGGACAGAGGGGTGTTGTCACTTTCCCAGTTGCTACAGCTCAGACTGAAATTAGTCTCCGGTGAGATGCCGCTTGGCGGAGTGATGGAGCAGTTCCCCCCTCTAGGGGGTATTGCTGTACGGAGTATTGCTATAGAGGTTATTGCTGTAGAAGTTATTGCTGTAGGGGTTATTGCTGTAGAAAAATCGTAAGTATTACTATCAGTCCTAATCCTTACACCTAATAGACCATTAACAGAGTCAGGGGAAAAATTCATGCGCCATAGAGCTGCACAATTTCTTGCAATTACCGGTACAGAAAAGTTCTAAATAGACCTGTGATATCTAACACCAGGAGTTCCAGATATATTGAAAGAAAATAAAATTTAGTCGAAAAATTAGAATGCAGCGTGAGCTGGAAAAGCAAGATTATAGAAAAAGGAGTATACTCAGACAGGTTGCTTTAATGAGAAATCTAAGCAAAATATTCGCCGCATTTAACCCTTTAACTCTCAGAAGTGATTAACATGTAACTTCTCCCTGCGATATCCTTACATTATCCGACAAAACAGTTAATGAGAATACTCAAACTTATCAGATAGAAGTTGTGTTCTTGATCTAACATCATATCCTTATAACTAACCAACAAAGAGATGTGTAGAAGCTAGAGGGGAGAATTAATAGTTAGCACATTTATTAACACATTTATATTCATACAAATGTAAGTGTAAACTTGATCCCGACTGTCAGAGAGTTTATAAAAATTAGGTCGTGAGTATCACAAACGTTAACAAAGAATGTTTTTATTATGCCTTAGCGCTTCTGGTGCCTTTTAGTTTACTCAGAGTAATAATAATAATAAAACGAAAACAAAACAAAAAAACTTACTCCTGGAAATCTCACAAATATAAGCCAGCCAGTTTTTCCGACTTGTACCATTAACACTACCAAACACGCCCTGTTCGCCATTATTGGACAGCTTGTACATGAAAGCTGCGTCGTGTTCACCACTTGGATCCCCTTTTCCCCATTTGTAAATAGTCAGCGGTCTTCCATTCACCCAGGTCCAATTGCCGGCCTTTTTTGTTAAACCAATGTCCCATTTATTTTTATTTCCACGGTTCCAAGTATTCCGCCTTTGAATCTCGTCATTAATGAAATTCCATTCTTCTTCGGTTTCAATGGAAGCTAGGTCCCCTCCTTGGGTTCGGCAGGCTTCTCTGTTCCGGAGCCAGTACCATCCACCCACCGAAAATATGTACCAAGAGTTCTTAAAAGTTATGTTTGAGCATTCTACAAAATGATGAAAACGGAAACAAAAATACTAATTAACATGATGATGATAAGCAAAGTGATAATAATAATGATCAAAAGATAAAGAGACTATGATCACAATCACAATAAAGGAGAAAAATAACTGAGAAAGAAAACGTGACTGCTTTTCATTTTCTATTTCATTCCTTTCTTTTTAATTTAACATCTGCAGTTTATGTTTGATTGATCACTGTCAATTAACACAGTACAGGTTTCTTCACTACAGCGTCTATCATCTCTTCCCTGATTTTCTGAATTAGTTAACTACTTTGCATCAGCTAAGATTATCAGTGAGTTCATGTAATTTTAATAGTTGAATTTTTGGATGTTTATTAGTTCCTTGTTAGGCTGACACCTCCCCTCACCCCGCCCCCTATTCTTCCTCCCCCATCTAAAGAGACTTAAAAAACGTAAAATTAAATATGAATGTAAGTTTTCATATATGTGCAACTGGAGATACGAGGTAACCGTATTCAGTTGTTATGGGAAAGGTTGTCGGAAAAAAACAAAACAAAACCAAACAAAACAAAAATTTAAAGTGCACGCGACGATCTTAAAATAACATATAGTTTTCGCCAAGCCTAAAGGTAGAGCTCGCATTTTTTTTCCCGCACGTCTCAAGGGCACAACGCCTTGCCCAGGCCAGGAATAGAACACGGGTCGTCCGACTCGGAGCCCAGTGCACTGATCACTGGACTACTGAACAAATCCGTGACGCTGGCGTGCCCACGTTACAGTTGACCACGCATGTTAAAAGTAGCACCATGTACGGTCGTACATCCAAATTTTTTCGGCTTGATGGGTTACGACAATTTTTTATAACTATGGGGCTACGCTCTGCGAGCTCCGCTATTATCTGGGTGGCGGTAATCAACACTGTAAAGATAAATTAAATAGGGTTCGCTTGTAATTTTTTCTGTTTTTCATGCAGTTTAGAATTTAAAGTCAGTCGTATTAAAAATAGGTTCAAACCCGTGATGCCTCGTCCTTAAAGTGACATTTTCTTAGATTTCCCTGAAATCCTGAGGTCGTCTAACCATGACCTGAAAGCTACGCGCAATACCTATCAAGGTTATCGCTTGCACTTCTGACACGCCTTTTCCTGAAAACGTTTCCCGAAAGAACTGTTCTTATCATTTGTTTTTCTTAGAAGGCACGGTAACGAATTGTGCAATTTTTGTGGTTCTTAATGCGGTCCGGATTTTCCTATCTCTACCTAGCGGCACGGCAACGCTTGCTCGAGTCGCTGGCTACAACCCTAGCTTCGTTGCCATTTTCCATAAATATATTTCGTTTGCCAACTGGGCAGTATTTTTAAGCAAATCAAGTTGATCAATAACTTATTAATCCGCTCCTTCTCTCTCTCAAGTCACTGTGGCTGCCGGTAAAAAAAATGGTTTTGAAATGATTTTTGGTAGCAAATATGCTATTAAATGGGTTGACACGCGGCCTAAAAACCGTTTGTAACTAACCTAGACCTTCACTAGAAGAAATTCAGGAAGTTAGAACGTGCGCTATTTGTTTAAAATTGAATTAATTGATGGAGTTTTCATTTATTTTATAACTGAGTTCTTTCAAACAATTTGTTCATTGAAAACAGTGAACGATATCTTCAGTTCTATACTTTAAATACGCTTTCGGTAAGTCTTTGCGAGTCTGCTCAATTAGGACATTTGTACCGTAAACTTCGCAACAGAAAACGAAGGAATTACATACATACATACATACATACATTCTTTATTTGATAAGTAGGTTGTGTGAAAGGCAGCCAAAGGGCTGATGTGGACCTACTATACTAAATATTAGGAATTACATATATATAAAAATTGCAATAATAACTTAGAACTACTATATACAAATAAAATGGTGTTCACTAAGACTAACATATAAATCTAAAAGTAAATGAAATGGTCCTTTCTGTTGGCAACTACTGTTGCCTCTTTCTCAAATGAAAAATTGTCAATAGTCTTAACATGTTTACGTAAGATTTGTTTAAAAGAATAAAAACTTTCAGGTACTTTAACTAATCTATTTACAAAATTCCAAATAACAGGACCTCTGTATCGTAGGGAGTTCCTGCCGGTCTCTGATCTAAATCTAATGACATTAAATTGGTTAGGAACACGAGAAGATCTAGAAGAAACTCTTTTAGAAAACAGTTCACATATCGACTGGGTCGTTGTTCCAAAATATACTTTGTGCAAGAGGAACAGTACAGATTTTTTATAGAAGTAAGAGATGGGCAGCCAGTCGGATTTCATGAGACATGTGTCATCTGCCATCGTTGAGTCGAGGTTATTCACAATACGAGCTGCTCTTGCATGAATATGGTTTAGAGAGTTCAGTGCGGAAGGAGAACAATTTCCCCATACCGAAATTCCATACGTTACACTGGGGATAATTGTTTTAAAGTATATTTCCTCGAGAACCTTCTTCGGAAGGATTCTCATTCTCTTCAACGCTCCAACCTTCTGCGTAAAAAGATTTCTTCACTGAGTCAATGTGCACAGACCATGTCAGCTTATTGTCAATTTTAACTCCAAGACAAGTGGTGTAATTAACCAGGTCGATATGGCCAGTGTTAAAGTGGAGGGGAGGTATAGGCCCAACAAAAGAGGTTTTACTTAGTATCATTGCTTCAGTTTTAATTGGGTGGATGGTTAGCTGATTCTTAATGCTCCACAGGAGAACTTGCTCCAATGATTTATTTAGTGACAACATAACCTGGTCAACATTTGGTCCAATACAGTAAACTGTAGTGTCATCTGCATACATGTATAGATCTCCCGAGTCGATGTGGTCAGGAGATCATTAACATATATGGTGTAGAGCCGGGGCCAAGAAGCGAGCCTTGAGGGACTCCATATCGCACATAGTCAGTGACCGACCTGCAATTATTAACTTCAGCAAATTGACATCTATCAGTAAGATAGCTCATTAGCCATTCATGAAGAGATCCTGATATTCCAATGGCGTGTAGTTTATGCGATAAAATATAATGGGGACAGTGTCAAAAGCTTTCTGGAAGTCAATAAAGACTGCTCCAACTGTCAGACCATTGTCAATTGTTGTCTTCCATCCTTCAGTCATAGAGGTAAGCATTCCTTCAGTCGATAGTCCCTTGCTAAACCCCCACTGTTTACAGCTTTTTATGCCACAGCTGTTCAGATGGGTATCAATTATGTTGCAGATCTGGCTTTCGAGCAGCTTGCTGGGGATATTTAAGTGATATTGGCCTATAATTTGAAACATCTGCTGGGTTTCCTTTTTTAAAGATTGCATTAACTTTTGCAATCTTCCATGTGTTAGGGAAGCTGGACTGAGCCATGCTGCTCTTGAAAGAGAAGAAGCTGCATTAAGATTCCCCTTTTGATAAAGGACCAGATTTGCACACGTGATTGCACCAAACACATGAGCAAGGCAAACAGATGTAAATTTACTTACAATTACTTTCCATTTACTGACCGAACAGAGTTATACTTCGTTCATCAATAGTCGATGGAAGTGAGTAATACTTTCCGTAAGATCATTGACTGTTTTTAAAGAAAAAATTCTAGTGACAGACATTGAACTTAAGTTTGTTTGCCAAACCAGTGTCGTTGATGTTGTAGTTGTTGTTTTTTTCTTTTAAAACGTGCAGGCGCTTTTGTTTCTTACACGCTCTCAAATTGACAGATGTCAGATTGTGACAGATACTTGTAGAAAAATGACATTGTTTCAAAGCTTGTTAAGAAGCCTTTTAAATCACCTTTTTCATTACACAAATAAAAATAATTAAGTGATGCCTCTATTTAACTTGCATTACCTCAACTACCATTTACTCGCTCAAAAATTGTTCAGTTCATGGAGAATCTTGCCGTAATTACAGCACCAACCCCTTAGGGTTCTTTTGGGAAATATTTCGTTGAGTTTAAAAGAAAAAAAAAACTGTTATTCAACAGCCAAAGTCGGTCTGTACTGGGAAAAACTGTGCACTCTGTTTTCAGTACCGGTACTCAAAGATCTTGGCCATACATACTTCGATGTGTTATGTTTAAAAGAACATGCATTCACTCACTGACCTCATTGAACTTATGGCGAGGGAAAATTCCGTTGGCTAGACTATTTCAATCTCAACGCACTCGACAAAATCTTGATCGCTGTTTTTTCAGCTGCTGGCGATGCAAAAAATATGTCCCGGATTTTTTCATGGGCATTATTTTCAACCATTAATACACGCTTAAAAGTTCATTCGTCGCTCACACGTACAAGTTAGGTGAGCCGAGCATATTATGTGAACAACATTTTTACTTTTAAGTAAAACAAGTGCAAGACTGCAATGTTTGAGCACATAATATACTTTATGGTTGGAATGTGATCTTACCTCCGGGCATCTCGCAAATGAAGGCGTTTTTATCACCCCGAGAGATACCAATAAAGAGGCCTCCATTCTTGGATATTTCCGCTCCATCGTCGTTATCACCTGGCTCAGAATCTTGCCATTTCGATATACTCAGTTGATCTCCACTAATCCAAGTCCAAACCCCGTCTGTATTCCTTAAACCAATATGCCACGCACTAGTATTCCAAGTACCACGCTTTTGAATCTCATGACTGATAAACTGCCATTCTTCTTCAGTTTCGATGGAGACTAAGTAACCTCGCTGGTCATTACAGACACTCCAGTTTTCATTGAAATCTCTTCCACTTTTCGAAAATATGTAGGAAGAGGAATTGAAACAGGCTGCTTGGCACTCTATAAGAAAGAACAAAGGAATAAAGAAACGAAAATAAAATGTATACTAATAATAACAACAGCAACAACGATAAAGATGGAGAAGAAAAAGGATTTACACCACTGATGATTAAAAAAAAAAACAATGGGCATCAAAACCCTCCTCCTCACCGAAGAAAAAAATTAGAATTAGACAAGGTTTTGAAAGTGGAAATTTTGGAAATCAGGGTAATAGCACCGTTAATCTTTAACTTTTTTTTTGTTTTGCTTTCCAACTAACGTTTTTAATCGCAAAACGATGTCATTGCAGCAGAAAGTCTATGGCTAATCATTTTGATATTTAAGTCAGATCCTTTTTATTCAGTTCATTTTAAGATACATAAATATTAAATTGTAATTACACTGCCTCACCTGTTCCTGGCAATTCCATCATCAAATGAAGGATGACTGTAGAAGAGAAAATGGACAAAGTGTTTGATTGTTATGTCGAAAATAACATTTGAAACAACAAAAGAGTTTCTTAGATTTCAAGTTAGACCATTACTAGTGCATTTTATTCGCGACAAAAAAAAAATCTACCCATGACTTTTTTATCTTCCCTAAGGAGCTGACTGAGAAATTGAAAGAAAGAAATGCAGCATCTCTGCAACCAGCTGAACAAAACTTGTTACATATCGAAAACATTTTTAAGGATACGGTTGACCTTAAGCGAATGTCTTGTGGATTCGCTTGACTAGCGTTACTCGCATACGTAACTTGGAAAGTATTATGTAAAAGGCAAAGGAGATGAACTAAAATCGAGTTAAATTGCCCTAAACCAGCCACAAAAAATTCACAAGATGTAAAAGAACAAACACCTGGGCGGTTAAATTTGTCCCTGTTCAAAACTAATCCAGATCTTTGAATGTTGAGAGCACGACTGTTTATTACCATGCGAATCCTTATATTTCACCAACAGATTGTTTAACGAGAGCATATTGCAAATTCGCGGATGCTTCCTGTGGTTGGACGTCAAGGTAGATAGATTTAAAAAAACATAATAAACAGACAAAAAACAACAACAAAGAACTAACAAACACCTTTCTCTGATAACGTTATCTTCTTTATACCCGAAAACAAAGTCTCGAATAGCATTAAAGTATTCTTAGTTTTTATTATTATTTTTCTTTTCATCATAACGGTTCCGCAGGTTCCGCTGGTTCCAGAGATTGCTAAGATTCTGCAGTCTGCTGATATTCAGTTTATTACCACCCCATAATGTTCTTGTTTGTTTGTTTTGTTTGTTTGTTTTTTTACATCCAGGCAATTGCGGGATATTCATTTCGAAAAACGGAACCCTCACCGGGTTTTGCGGTTGGCATGTTGGGGAGTCCGAAAACCGAATTTCAAGGCAAACCGTATGGTTTACATTCTCTATTATCGCGTAATTACAAATCATGTTTTTTTTTTCTTTTTGTTTCCAAATCTTTGCCAATAATTCACGCCTTTAAGTGACCACATGCCAAGTCATGTGAACACTCTAAATGTTTCGCAATGCGGACCGCCAATAGAAACACAGAAGTGTCCCGCGTTGTCTAGGAAGACTCTCAGCAAAAACATATTTTGCCGGTAATAGTTGTCCGAACCAGACTGTAGTTAAATAATCTACTGAACGGCAATTTAGATTGCATTTTTTTTTAAACTCAAAAGCGGCTTGAGCACACTGCGGCAGAGCTCGTTAACGTTTGCCGACCGTGTGCGCGTAGCTTGAACCACGAGCCCTTATCCGTTTCGGTGAGTTTCTTCAACCATTCCTCATCGAGTTTCCTCAATTCTTGTGCTCACAGTCAGGATTCTTTTTTAGTTTCACCCTAGGAATTTTCTCTTTTTTATATTCCGCCATTCACAGTCTAGTTTTAAACGCAGACAAATAGCAAAGGTCTCAACATGCAACCATAATCAGGAGATGTTTCCATTATGGATGTAATTCCGATTGGAAGTCTATGACTGATTAATGTTATAAACTTGTGAGGTAACCAGAACATTTTAAGTTATATATTTAAACAATGAAAAAAATAATACTGACAAAATATCTTATAGCATCTGGTCGGTTTTTATTTGTTGCGCTTTAGCATCTGTTTTGACGTTTTTTTTTTCCCTAGAAGGCTAACGTTTAAAATCTAAAACATACAGCAGGTCGGCATCATGTCACCCTGAACAAGCTTATTGAAATTACTCTTATGAAACGAAAAGGACTCGAATACAATTCTTCTCTTAAATAAATTATATGAAGATTTGAAGTAAATCGTCAAGTGACCGATCGGACCCTAACTAAGAATGATAAATTCCTAGTGATATTCCCCTGTTGTTAATCTAGCGCTAATTCAAGGATTTTGATTGGTTTGCCGCCGTCACAAAAAAAGAAGCAAACTTTTTCCTCGATACGGTCGAGCACTGGTAGCAAATACTGAAAAGTCGCGAAGGAAACGTTATCGATGCTAAGATGTTTGTGATTATCAGAATCGCGCTTTGTAAAATAGCCTCTATCTGGTGCGAAGAAACAAAAATATCTATAATTCAGTGAAAGAGAAAATTAATGAAATGACATAATAATAATAAGAAGAATGTGTCACGAGTGTGTCACTGATTTCCCTAACTGCCATTAACATTTGAAGATTATTCCGTCATTTTCATTATCGGGAAGTCAAACGTATGGATTAGACATTTAATTTAAAATCAAAGAGTTCAAAATTGTCACTTCTCGGAACAGATAACTTTAAATAAATACAGCCTATTCGATAAGGAAGTTTTGTAAGTAGCGTGGTATTATTCCAAGTCAAGAGAGAGCCGATGAGAAACCATTAAAGTGTTCTTTATGACCATCAGAAAAAAGTCTGGTGTGCTCAGAGACTTGTTGCTTGAAAAACGAACCAAAAAAAAAGCCGACAACAGCATTAATTTCGTTTTGTCGGGTGCAACCTTTTCGTTGTTCCGCTTTCCGTTCGTATTTTCGCGCCGTCGTATAACGCAATACTGTGGGAAATTGTTCATGTTCCTTGCCCAAAGACGGGTTAAGTGGCGCAGTACTGGAGTGATAAAAACGTATATTCTGCAACAATGAATTAAACGACGAGGAACTCTTAAACTGAATCAATCTGTTCTTTATCAAGATTTATAATTTTGAAACTATGCGTACCGAATTCTTTGAAAACAAAACTTTTGACATCGATTTTTAATTTGTCATGTGATCGATGAAAAGCATGAATACAGTACTACGTTTTATTTTCTCTTTTTCTAACTGGGATGGAATTCATTAATTAACTGTCTCTAGGGTTTAGGCGTCCGTTTAGAGAATAACATTCTACAACTAAAGCTGATTAAAAAAGTCGAGGAAGCAGGGAGTTAATTAAAAGGGAAATAAAAGGTAGACCCGTCAAAAGCTGAACTGTCGCTGACAGCATTTATTTTAAAAAACCCTTGCCCATACTTGCCTTCTGTTTACCACAGTTATTGTTTTCTATTTAGCGTGTTTATAAAATAAGCTCAAAAGTAGCTCCCATTTCTATTCGTGCTAGATTGCTTAAGCAAAAGGTCTGAATAAGTTTTAGTCGACTAACTCAATTCGTTTTTTCGCGAAAGAGATCTTACATGGTTTTTGTGTATTTCTCGGGTGACGTCTTGTCACACCAACTTCAGAATTGAAGGTAGGCAACTGTGCTATTATGTTCCTGAAACCTTTCATAATATTTCTGAAAGGTTTTACACTAAACTCATGACGTAGCGCCTGACAGGCAGCACGCGTTTTTTCCTGCTCCGTGATTCTAAGCGAACTTTCTTCAAAATAACTTCCTCGAAACGACAAAGAGCACTATTTTAATCACAAGTAGATTTTTATAATATTGGCCTCTAGTTACATGGCGATATTTTATTCAAGAGCGGCACTGAATGCCATTTTATCTTCAACGACGAAGAAGTCGCTCGGTTGTGAGTTATGGCGCAACATATCTGATCTGGGAATAACACGGCAAAGACCTACACGTCGAGGGACAAGAGCAGGACAGCGCAAACAAAGGCAGATTGGGATTTGCATGGGGAATGGAGCACGCAAGACTCAGCAATTTCCGAACTTTAATGGGTGTTTCTTTGCCAAGAACTTCCTTCACAGGAAACCTCATTTACATAACCAACTGGCGAACATATTAAATATTCAAAATGACACCTTTCCACGTAGCAATCTAAACAACTGCATTGTTATAGATTGCACCAAGGAAAACAGAGCAGCCAGTACTGAATGGTCACCCAAAGTTCCTAAGATCATGTTAGCGAATGTCATGTCTTTAGCCCCCAAAATGGATGAAGTTAGCGAGTTTATCACTCGTAATCATATCAACCTTGCGTTCGTTACGGAAACCTGGCTAAAGGACTCTGTGTTGGACACCGTTGTTGACATCCCCGGGTTTGCTATTGTACGTGAAGACAGGAAGACACTAGAACACGGTGGTGTGTGTGCCTATATTCAAGAAAAACGGTGCAAATATAAACAACTGAACGATTTAAAGTGCTGTGATAATCATGAGACATTGTGGCTCCATCTAAGACCAAACCGCCTCCCCCGGGGTTTTCCTGCATAATCGCGGCAGTGATCTATCACCACCCCCAGGCCGATGGGACATCTATCCGGGAGCATTTGTTCCAGTCCCTCGTCCTAGCGGAGACGCGATATCCCAACTGTGGATTGGTCGTCACAGGAGATTTCAACCGCTTGGATATTAAGGGCTTGCTGAATCACTTTCGTCTCCAGCAAATAGTTCAAGTTCAGACCCGGAAGGATGCCATATTAGACTTGGTGCTCACTAACATGCAAGAATACTATAATCCGCCACAAGCCTACCCTCCATTCGGGTTGTCGGATCACAACGCTGTTGTTGTGTCGCCAAAAGATGGTAAACGTGATGTAAACAGAAAGCACGTTGTTAAAAGGCGTGACTTACGTGAGAGTAACAAGGCTGCCTTGGGGAGATATCTAACCTCTATTGATTGGCC